CAGGAGCTCCACCGAAGGCCCCCAGTGGCAGGGTTCGCATGGCGGCCTCGGGCCATTTCGGCACACCCCTCACGAAGATCGTGGCCCCATGGGGAGCTCCACCGAAGGCCCCAGTGGCCGGGTTCGCATGGCGGCCTCGGGCCATTTCGGCACACCCCTCACGAGGATCGTGGCCCCATAGGGAGCTCCACCGAAGGCCCCAGCGGCAGCCTCCCTCATGGCTCTCAGAGCCCTCTCCTGCTTCTGCTCCTCGGTCAGGGGGACGCCGTCCTCGTCGTCGTCGGCGCCCGCGAAGACTGCCACGAACGTGCCCCTGAACATGTCGGGCTCGGGCGGGAAGTTGTGGCCGCATCGGGAGCGCGGGCGAAGATGTTATTCGCAAGTGCGGTAGTCACAACTGCGCATGGTTGGGTCTTTCGCCAGGCTAATTATTTGTAGATACGTCTTGCAGGGTAGCTTCAAAACAGCAAACGAAGCCTGGAAGTCGCCCCAGAGCTCCAAGACGCCCCAAATGGCCCTGATAGGCAACCGGCGTCGTCGTCAACATCGTCGACATCTTCGCCATTATCTTCCTCCTTTTCCCCCTCATGATCGCCACGCTCTACTCGCCCCTGCCCTTCCTTCGTGCCCCCCCCCTCCACCTGTACATGCGACCCTGCTCGCCTCACTCTACTCCTATTCATTCCCCCCTGTGCTCCTACTCCTCTTCATCCACCTCTTCCTCCTGTCCCCCTCCTCATCTTCCTCCCCATGCTTCGCGCCCTCCTCCCCAACCTCAGGGTCGGCGGCACCGGCCATAAGGCCTTCGCAATAAGATCGGGCTCGGTCCAGATGCAAGGTGAAAAGGGAGTCCCAGTTGCTTGCCGTATTGTCGGGTGTGCTTCCTGGGTGTGTTCAGTGTGTTCCTCGTGTGATCAATAACTTCATGATATATGTGACGGTCAATAAAAAGGTGCACGACGGTTGGTGGTCCAAGAAGTACGTACGATAATCCGATGGGTAAGCATTCAGAGTTGTGGGACCCCATCGCGCAGGAACTGCGCGACCGCATTGCAAATCATATCACAATGCTGTTCACCCATTCTCACCTTGAGGCTGCCGACGTCATTAGGGGAGCGGTGCACCGTGGATGGTCTACGGCAACGCAGTCGCAGACCACGTGGCAGGAGAAGGCGTCAAGCGGGCTCGGGTCCCAGAGTCCGATCGAAAGCGGGTGTTGGAACACGAAAAGGTCGCCTACCTCGTGCGGGTGCGGGGTGTAAGGGGCCACCTGGACGTGCTGGCTGTGGAGAAGGAGGAGCAGTTCCAAGCGGGGGCCCGTCGGAGGAGGCAGGGGGCCAGAGGGTCTCCAAGCGGTGGCCAGGACGCTGCAGCGAGCGTCGGGAACGCTCTTCCTCATCCTCCTCATCCTCCTCCTCCTCCCTCTCCTCCTCCCTCTGTTCCTCCTCCTCCTCCTCCTCCTCCTCCTCCCCCTCCTGCTACCACTCCTCCTCCCCCCCTCCTAAGCCTGAAGCTGCCTCTGTTTTTGAAGCGTCTCACGCTCTCGACGAATGTGGGCGGTGGTGCCGACAGGGTCGGGGAACGGCGTCCGTGGCCCGCGTTCGAGTTGTAAGCGCGAGTCACCGTGCTTTTAAACTCATGGCGTTCGATGGCTCCCCCCCCTCCTCCTCCTCCTCCTCCTCCTCCTCCCTCCTCCTCCTCCCTCCTCCCTCCTCCCTCCTCCCTCCTCCCTCCTCCCTCCTCCCTCCTCCCTCCATCGGTCACTTCCTGACGGGGGCTGAAATTCATGCTGCCGGGGTCTGGGCGGACCCCCGCCGTCGTGTGGGACTGCACTGCGACCTGGGGGCGTGGCCCCGTGTGTCCCGTGGGATGTCTGGGGGGTCCGCAAGAAAGGGGCCCCGGGACACGCCAATTAATACACACAAATCAACGATTCCCCACATTTTCCAATATTTTCCAGGTTTTCGTCTCCCCCCCCCACTTCCCATACTTTCCCATATTTTCCTGGGACTCGACGATTAATTGTGTCTGTGTGTTTTTTCTCCTCCTGAAACAACTGCTTGACTGGGTGCTGAGTGCTCGGACCGCCCTGCTCAGACCCGCCAGGAATATCTGAGGCGCACTTCTCGGGGGCAATACGGGCCCAGAGTCGACCAAGGAGGCCAAGATCGCCCGCAGAGCCTTGGAAGCCCACGAGCGGTCTGAGTATGCGAGGGTAGGACTTCGCCCAGGGACTCCAGTTCCAACTCCACCCCTCTCCACTATCCCTCCTTTCCCTTCGGGAGCATGGGCTGAAGGGAGGGGGCGGGGGAATAAACAAGGAGGTCGGCACGGAATCGAAATCAATTCGGACCGGCCGCTCCATGACGCACAACAACACCGGGCAAACATCGGGCCGCATCAGATCGGCCGCACGTTAGAATCGAGGCGGATCGACCGCACCAGAACCGATCACATATTGATCGAACTGGAGTGGACCCTGGCAGGGACTGCTGTCAGCCATCGTCAGCTCCTTCCGTCCACATCTCGAACCTCCCCATTCTCTCTCGGATCGGACAAGGGGCGGGTCGCGGGAAGCGGGGGTATGGAAACAACTCACGCCCCTGGTTCTCCCGGCGCCTCTGGAAGCAAGAGGTGCCCGTGTATCCAGGAAAGCGCCTGGCGGCGGGGCCCAAACAAGCTGCACGCAACAGATTGTGTACATCACCCACTTTAACCAGCCTCGAGCTTGTCCCCATCCCTAGGGTTGACAAGCCAAACTGGGATGATAATCTCAGGGATGCGCCCTCAGAGACTGAGGGAATCCTGAAGATCAGCATCGAGATGAAGCGATGCCACTCATAAGGCTTGTCACCTTTTCCCAGTCCCCCCTTTCGTCCGCCACGCGTGGTCTTCGTCGCCTGGCTTTCGGGTCATACCTCCGATCCGCGGCGCCCGTTCGGCAGGACCTTCGCACCCCTGGAGCGCGCTCTGCGATGCGCAGCTGCTTGAAGACATCCCGATGCTGGAACACTGCCGCGAACCGACGAACACATCCGGGCCTCTTTCGACGTCCAGCACGAGCTCTCGCAGTTGGCCCCGCTCCCACCAGACGCGGCCCAATGATGCCCCACGGACGGATGTTTAGGCCAGCGACCCAGCGACCACAACCCTTCCCGCTTCGGGCATTGCTGCCACGCCCATGCAGGAAAGGTCAAAAGGCGGCAACGTTCGGCCGATTTCTGCAGTAACCGTTGGTGAGTACTAGACAAGCGCGTTCCCCTACACGCAAAGTCACTACTCGCAAATGGCCTCGATCCCCCGCGGGGGATTCACGATAAGTGATAAGAAAGCAGACGTGTGTTTTTCGGACGTTTGCGAGTAGGCACGTTGCGAGAAGTGGAACGCGCTCGGCGAAGTATGGCGAGCTCGGGCCGCGACAACCCCAGCGCTGGCTTCTAACGCCGCGCGGATCGCTCCACTCGGGAGCCCACCGTGCTGTTCGCGATACACAGCGCTCGTGACAGGCCCTGGCCCTGGCGCTGCCTGGGCATCGGCCAGTCTTGGGCGCTCCCGAACGGCGTCTGCGCGAAACGTGACGTGACCGGGCCCGGCCCCCATCTCCCCCCGACTTGTCACATCGCCAGGGGTTAATGGAGGCCCCCTAGATGGGGTCCGAGTAGAACGGGGTCGGAGGATCGCGCTGCATCGTCGACGCGGGCGACGGGTTCATCGGCGACGTCGACGTGAAGCAAATCGGGCTCCCCATCGAGCCGCATCGCCGATGCGTCGGCGATGCGGCGCGATCCTCCGACCCCATCTGCTCGGACCCTATCCGGGAGGCCTGGAGAGAAGACAAGCACTCCAAAGGGGTCAATAGATACCCATCGGCAACTGACGGCGCTCAACCCTCGAGCGCCCGCGGCGGTCGCCCGCGGCGGGGTCGCCACCGCGCCGGGCTGACGCGAGCCTGCCATGGGCGGTTCAAGGAGCTCGAGGTTTGCGTTGTTCTTCCAACCTCCTACCAGGTCATACCCCCCCTTCTCCCTGGACCTGGAACCCTAGGGTCCAAGATGGCTCCAATCTGGCTCCGCATGGACAAAAGATGGTCTCCAAGACGGCACGAAGATAGCTCAACATGGCTCTAGATCCCCCTGGAAATATAATGCTAGGTTTGCAGGTCGTGTCAAAGAACCGTCTGGGGGTCTTCTCTGAGAGTAATTGTTTATCCCTGGTCCGTTTCTGAAGGTCCTGGGGCCTGAAAACGGCCCCCAGAAGCCCGCAACGACGAAAAACCTAAGGCGACGAAAATAAACAAATCAACGACTAAAGTTGCATGACTATTGCAAGGCAATGTATAAAGGCCTCCAGGGTGGGGCCAAAGCAGATGGGATCGGAGGATCGCGCAGAATCGTCGATGCATCACCGATGCATCGGCAACGTCGGCGATGCATCGGTGACGTCAGCGTGCAGAACATCGGGCTCCACATCGAACCGCATCGTCGATGCATCGGCGATGCGACGCGATCATCCGACCATATGTACTCTGACCCAATTCTGGGAGGCGCAGAGTGCAGAACATCCCTCACATGCATCCAAGAGGTTCCAAGACACCCTGACGATAAGGAACGCGAAATAAGGAACGGAGATCCATTTGGGCTCCGAAAGCGACTGACGAGAAGAGCCAGCAAAGCAGGCATGCAAAGGCGTAAGGAATAGCGAAGCCCTAACGAACCCGAACCTGTTCCTTCTTTCCGCGTCTGGACCGTGCCCCCACTTCGGCGGCGTCCAAGAGGGGGACGTCCAAGAGGGGGGGTCGCAAATCATGGCTCGAGGCATGTACGCGGACGAGGAGTGGGACCGGGGGAAACATTAAAATCACACGAGGGGGCCATGAGACCGGGGGAGACATCATGGCCCCCGTCATGATATGCCCCTGCCCCCCCAGCCATCACCCCCGGCTTGCACACCGTCGACCACTGCGGTGCCGCCCGCCCACCTCCGAGCCCGCCCGCCCCGGCCTCCGCCGATGCCGCGTGAGATCCCCAGGCGACGATGGCCACCAGGACACCGCCGACCTCTGGGTTTCGCTTCTCAAGGGGACGGGGGCAGGCGCCTCCTCCTCCTCCTCCTCCTCCTCCTCCTCCACATCCTCCTCCACATAAGCCTCCCCCTCCCCCTCCACATCCGAACTACTCCACATCCTCCTCCGCCGCCTCCTCCACTGTTACCTCCTCCATCTCCTCCTCCTCCTCCTCCTAGCCGTTTTGGCTTGAGGTGGTTGCACCCCAGTGCGGACTCCACGTGGTCTTGGCAATTATCAACACCACGGGGGTTGCAGTCAGCATCCACTCCAAAACAATCTTAGCGTGATCAGGAACCGACTTCACAAAAAGGTTATCAAACCCAGGACAGAATTATGGTACTCTGCTTTGCTAGTAGACGGATGTAGGTGCAATGTTCCACGCAGGATCGGCCCCAACCCCGGGTGGCGGCAATCGACCCCTGCCGCTCTCTCAATACTGCTGGGCTCTCCCATCAACTTCAAAGCCGAATCCCAGTGGACGACGACAGCCACCTGCTTGGCTCCCCGTAAAGGACAGCAGCAGTGGACGGTACGGCCACGGATCAAGGAAAGTAGTTGTTCTTGTTTTGATAAACAAAAACCATTGAAATAAGCAAACTGACCAGTTCAATTCACGCCCAACCTCGGTAACGAAGTCCTCCGACCCCACTGAAAGAACACCCCGAACACTCCACGCTATAACCACTGAATGTTGACCTTGATTCTGTCGAAGTCGGAATACCTGGTTCTCCAGGGAAGAATCTCACGTGCGTGCCGCGGCCTGCACCATTGGTAAGAGCGAGTCCAGGTTGATGGTAGCCTGAATGGCCTCGAGGTTTGCCTGTGTTCCCCCCGCGACCATGAGGTGGGTAGTCTTGTCCTGCTCGAAGATCTCCACTGGCCGTGCTCCCACATGCCTCCCGCCCAATTTCGAGGGGTTCTGATGCCGAGTGCCTCCTTGGCGCTCTCCACGTTCGGGTTGTTGTCACTTGCCGAAACCAAAGCCTCCGCCATCAGCGCCTCGGCCTTGCTCTACTGTTGAACCACCCCAATCTCCCACCCCACTTTGCCGATGCAGTGCCAGAGGAAATCATTGGCGCGGTCCGGAGCAGCAAGCGCTGCTAAGGTGAGAGGCTTCCTCTTAATCGTCTTCAGGAAGTCCCACATGAGCGTAGAGGTGTCAAAGTGGATCTTGACCCTGTCTCCATACGCGCCTATGCCATGCACCTACACAGCACCTGCGATGTTCAACCGATTGAGCTCCCCTTGGATGAACTCGACGTGCTTGGTGGACTCATCGTAAGCAAAGCCGCCGACGCAGATAACCTTGTGGAGCTTGGGCGCTGCGTATGCTGAATTTGCACCCGCTGCACTCCAGGCCTGGGACAGAGTCGCCGAAAGAGAGAAAGTTTTGCGGCCCTCTTGCTACTTCCCGTTCCCACTTGTCTTTCCTCTCCTTCATCAACTGAAGCTCCTCCCCCTGGGTGTTAGCCTTAGTCTTGACCGCCTTGAGATCCTCCGTGATTCAGTTCAGGTCTTCTCGAGTGGCGCCTGGGAGTTAACAGTCTTGCCTTTGAGGGCTCGGAGAAGGCACTGATTCCCTTCATCCAAACCCTGCTCCTCGGAACGACGCTGAGCAGATAATGAGGCGTGAAAGCCTTCAACCCGCTGCGGCATACGCCTGTTATCAGCACCCCTTGCCCCTTCCACTCCCTCCATGCCCACCGGAACGGGAGCAACTGGAGCAGAAGGCAGCGCCATCTCAGAGCGACAATAAAAAATAGGTGCGAAAAAAGGCGTTCGGATGTCGGGACTGTTGAGTCGCTTTCACTTGAGACTTGTGTCGCTTGAGACCTGTGTCGCTCGACACTTGTGCTCGCTTGTGCGATGACGACGACGGAGAAACGACGACTGGGGGGAGGAGGAAAAGGAGGAGGAGGAGGAGGAGGAGAAGGAGAGAGGGAGGGAGGGAGGGGGGAGAGGGAGGAACCAGAAGGAAAGGGACAGGAGGACGAGGAGGAGGAGGAGGAGGAGGAGGAGGAGGAGGAGGGGGGAAGGGACAGGAGAAGGGAGAGAAAGATGAGAATGACGAGGAGGATGCGGGATTAGCAGGATTAGCGGCATTGGCGCAACCGGTCTCCGTGAGAACACGAAGCCAACACAGGGCAGCCTGTGGCAGGAGGCTGGGTCGCCCTCGAGCTCAGCGCAGAGAAACGACACCCTGGAAACCCTGAGGAGGATGAGAGGGGGGGGAACAGGAGGAGGAGGAGAGGAGGAGGAGGAGGAGGAAAATAAGGATCCACGAGCGATCACCTGTGACTGCGATGGAGGCGCTTCCGCCGCCCATAAAGAGAGAGCGAAAGCGGGCTGGCGACCGCGCAACCCGCGAGGCCTGCCCGTATGGAGAGCTGCGCGGCGGCGACGAAGGAATACCTGCCACGGGGGGAGGGGGGGGCTGCGTAGCGGCAGCGCCCTCTGCGAGGCCTCCTCCTCCTCCTCCTCCTCCTCTTCCTCCTCCTCCTCCTCCTCCTCCTCTTTCTCTTCCTCGTCCTCCTCCTCCTCCTCCTCCATCTCCTCCGCCTCCTCCTCCTCCTCACATCCTCCTCCTCCTCTTCTTCCTCCTCCTCGATCTCCTCGTCCATCTCATCCCCCACGTTCCTCCTATTTGCGTACTTCCCCCTCGTCCTCGTCCTCGTCCTCGTCCTCGTCCTCGTGCTCGTCCTCCTCCTCCTCCTCCCCCACCTCCTCCTCCTCCTCCTCCTGCTCCTTCTCCTCCTCCCTCTTCCACTTCCTCCACACACCTCCCCCGCCTCCTCCACCTTTCCCTCCTCCTCCTCCCCCTCCCCCTTCTCCTCCTCCCCCACATCCCCTTCACCTCCTCCTCCTCCTCCTCTTTCACCTCCTCCGTCACCTCCCCCTCCTCCACTACCTCCAACTCTCCTGTTCCTGCTCTCTGCTATCCTCCGTCGTTTCTTCAGTGGGCAGGGCCCAGGCGCCTTCGTTGCCCCCTCCCTCTCCTCCACATTTGGCAGGGCGCCAGACGCTGCGCGCCCAGGTATTCAAAAACCATCTGCCTGATGGCCAAGTGGGGCTGCTCCATCCACCCAGGAAAGAGGCGAATCATCTGACAGTCGTCCTTCTCCTCCTGCGAACGTCGATCGTATTTTGTCGGGCCTCTGCCTCGCTTGTTGTTTTCAGTGTCCCTCCCATAGGCTTCGTGTGCCTGATGTGAGGATGAGCCCGCTGTGACAGCAGTTTCGACCATCGGGCCCACATGAGCTTGGCGCTCACCCTGCAGAGAAAGGCTTGACCCTGGTTTCGTGGACAGCCGAACAGAACCGATGATCCTCCTCCCACCTCAACCTCGTCCTCCTCCTCCTCCTTCTTGTCCTGCTCCTCCTCCTCCTCCTCCTAGTTACGTTAAGCAAACCTGAGGTGAAAACCCGCGGCGCTTTTTACACTTCGAATTCAAAGCGGAATTCGTACGCGGCTCGGTGCGCGGAATGTAAGGCCGAGACGAGAATAGTACAAGGAGCCCGAGCCCGCCAGGCACTAGAGGTCGGCACTACCCTTAGTAAGAAAAGCCCCCCGACCCCATATCCATGATAAAGCTAAGCCCCAAAGTGTTCAGTGGAAATGCCGCCTCGGCAGGCAAGGTGCAACAACATGAAAAAGGGCGAAGAGAGTGATGCAGTGGTTAGATGCTACACGGGAAGTAGCAGTCCTAGGGTTGCTGCCCAAGGTTTAAAGTTGACCCCGAGCCGTAGGTGCATCCTTCCAAAGACTTCAGTGCAGATCACCTCCCCCCCTCGACAATCCCCAAGAACGGAATGAGGCAAGCGGTGCAGTGGCTGGCCCTGTGAGCTGGCTTGACCCAGCCTGTGATATAAGCTTGCACGTGCTTACGTAAACAACTGAAGCTGTCGGGCATTTTTGATGCGATGTAAAAACATGGCATGCTGCTGACAGTATGGCAAGCACTTGAACTGGCAAAGTGTGTCGCTGTAAGTCGCAGGCCTGTTGGGGTTCTCCCCTCGTGGGCAAGTTGTGCACGTGGCCTCTGAGCTGTGAAAAACAAAGAGCCAGTCAATGTGCAATTCTTGGTCTGCTACCCTCAGCCAGAGAGGCTCTCGCATCCCCCACCCTAAGATACCTCCATTGCCAAACCCCCACCGGCAGTCCCCAAGGTCAGGCGAGGCAAGCGGCACGGGCCCTGCGGGCCGCCTGGCACAGCCGGCGATACAGGCTTGCGCGGGTGCTTAGACAGCCGAGCCTGTGTGGCATGTATGATGCGATGTAAAGTGAAACAAAAGCATTGCGATCCTCAATCTGTAGGCTGGGACAGTTTTGGCTGGCGTGCACGTCGGGTTGACAATATGCTGGGCGCTGGGTCTGGCAACGTATGCTGCTGTTGGTAGGTAGTCGTGTTGAGGTTCTTCCCTCGTGGGCATATTGCTCACGCGCCCTAACTGTTTCCCAAAGAACACCTAGTCACTGTGCAATTCTTTGGTTGCTATTTTTAGTCCCTCCACAGCCATTACCTCATCCACCATGAATCCCCCCGGCAGTCCCCAAGGTTGGAGTGGTTGGCCCGGTGGGCTGGCCTGGCACACCCTGTGACACAGGCTTGGACGTGCTTGAACAACTGAGGTTGTGGGGCATTGTTGATGCATTGTAAAAAAAATGGCATGCAGCTGACAGTATGGTGAGCACTTGAACTGGCAAAGTGTGTTGCTTGAAATAGCAGGCGTGTTGAGATTTTGGACTCGCGGGCAAATTGCCCAACGCATCCTCTCAGCTCTGGAAAAAAAAGCCTGCCAATGTGCAATTCTTGGGCTGCTACCCTTAGTCAAGGAGTCTCTCTCTTTCATTCCCCAGCCACAGACCCTCCGTCTCCAACCCCCCACCGACAGTCCCCAATATCAGGGTGAGGCAAGCGGTGCGCAATGGCTGGACCTAAGGCTGCCTGGCGCAGCCTGTGACGCAGGCTTGCGCGAGTGCTTAGACAGCTGAGGGTGCTTAGACAGCTGAGGCTGTAAAGTATTTGTGATGCGATGTGCAAAACATTGGCATTGCCATCCTTTGCTGGACGTCGTGAGTACTGCATGCAAGTGTCCGCTAGAGGTGAGGGTGTCGCGCAAAGCAAGCAGCAACGACGGGAAACCAGTGAGAGAGTAGGGACCGCGAGCAACAGAAGGATCATATAACCGATACACTAAGCATCCAAGGGGTGCACAAGATATCGGCTGTCCCCAGCAACCCGTAAGGTACGGCCCCTAGGGATGGGGGAAGGGGTCTAAGCTAAATTTCTTCGTTCGGTCAGAGGACCTGTTGAAACAAGGGGTGGGGAAGGTGAAGGAAGTGGACAAACGACGACGACAGCAATATTGGTCTGTGGTGGACGCATGTCAAGCGAAGCCTGCTGCTGCCAGTCGTGCAAGAGGACGTTGCGGCAAGTAAGCATGAACAAATGGGGTCTCTGCCTGTACGTCAGGGGGTCCCAGAGTTACATGTCTGAGCTTTGGCAATTACTGTCAGTGGTTTGTGGCTTTGTTCCAAACCACCTGGAGGAGACTGTAGGCTGGCACAGTGCTGGCTGGCCTGGTGACAGCAAGACTGCGCAATTCTTGGGCTGATACCCTCGGTCAGACAAAAACGATCTCGGCTTGCAAGGACTGTGTCGCTGCTCTGAGACTGCTTGCAGGGTAGACTTGCAGCGTTGAGCAAGCAACCAAAACGGGAAATATGTGCCCTCGTCCTCCACCTCATCCTCATCAAACCTCATACAGCTCTGCTTGGGGGGGTCGCCGGGGTGGCTCTGCCAGGGAAGCGGAGGAGGGGGGGAGGTGCCCCCATCTGGTTTTTTTCATGATCTGCGCATCCGGACCCCCCCCCAGGAAGGGGTGGAGGGGGGGGGGGCGGTCCCCCATCTGGCGTTTTCTTGGTGATTTGCGCATCCCCAAGATGTTTCGGGGGGTCCCAGGGACCCCCGCAGGTCTAGCCACTACCGCCCCCAGGACTCTCCCCTCGGAACCCTCCCCGGACCCCCACAGGGACCGCTCCAGGCACCCCCCTCGAGGTGAAGAAAGAGGACCGGAATACAGTCGGCCTTGATTGGACAGGACACGCGAGAGGACACAAAACCCTTCCGAGGACCACATCGCCATAGGAGTGTAAGAAGGCACGTGTCGCGAGGCACATGACACAAAGGTACCCTTGAACTGGCAAAGGTCGACCTACTAATCCGGGCCGACTGTAATCGAGGAGGGAGGAAGCCACAGAGCCGCGCAAATCACCGAATGGGGAGCCATGACAATAATGGCCGGCACTGGCCGGAGGCATTGGCGGGAGGCCATTATAATGACGGTGCAAGGCATGCGGTACAAATAGGCAGGTGGAAATCGTCATGGTTGGGATGTTGGTCGGTAGTCCACAGTGGGAGTGTCGACTTCCTTGCCGCCACGCCAGAATGGCTGTAGCCCAACTGGAGGCGGGGAAGGGAGGTCGAGGTCCATGCAAACGGTGTGAAGTGAACAAGGAACGTGGAACAATGGGAGGGGTGTCGGCGCAAGTCGGGCATTGAGTGGGAGTGGCATCTGTGATGCCTCCTGTATCCTCTGTCGTTGGCACGCTTGCCTGCCGACAGTGAGGGGGATGTGGATCAGTAGTCGATGGTCCGCAACCATCGGGGTACAAGTCGTGTTTGTAGTCGATGTCGTGATATATTACTGTATATCTCCTCTGTGCTCGCGGTAAGCAAGCTGTGTCTCGCTTGGGCTGCCCTGTTGTTGTCGTGGTCGTAGCTCTGCGCCTTGGGCTTGGGCGGTGCCATATACACCAGTGGCATTGGCTTGCGCGAAGGTTCCTTGACTTGTATGTATGGGAGGTTGTTGTGGAAATAACTGTCGAACTGCTGCTCGTAACTAAGACGAAGCCGGGATCGGGGCAAAGTTTGACCGGGATAAAAATCATGCTCGGTTTTTCAAATCACCGGGGGCGCCGCCGAACGGGCCTGCCACGCCTTGGGCACCATCGGCTTCGCGAGGGAAGGACTGCGCCCCGGCGCGGATGAGGCCACGGCGCGTGTTTGGCCACGCGCGCGCCCGAGGGAATTCAGCGCCAAGCGCCTTTCACTCCAGAAAACCCGACGTCAACAAAACAAACTTGAGGCCCCAAGGGGCCCCAAAGAGGCGGACCGCCAAAACAATCACGCAACCAACGCAACGACAAACGCGTGTAAATGTCGAAAAGCGCAGTACTCAGTGACGACCTCTTCGGCCACGCAACGCCGCGAGAATGCCCAATAAGGCACTGGAAAAAGAGCCCGCGCGCGGCCTGGCGACTTCCCCGCGCCGCCCCAAGGTTCCCGAAGCGCGCTGAAATAACCGTAGAGAAAACCCCGGAAAGTCTTTGGAAGGCCCCCGCACCATGCAATATCCGCCACCGAATAATCTCGCGGACACCTAGCGCGCACGCGCGGGCGTCCACCATGGATGCCCAACTCGGGTTTCGGAGACAATCGCGCGCAACCGCCTGGGGGCTTCGGCAACCTCGCGATTGGCCCAGGGGCCCGCGGGCCCCAGGGAATCGAGGACCGAGTTCGCGACTCCGGAAGCATCGGGCGCGGCGCCAGCCAGTCGCTCGTCGCTGGCTGACAGTGGGACGCCTGGAGATCCGGTAAAACCTGAGGAACCGCTTTTCAGAGATTCACATAACCAGAAAACGGGGCGCGCCAAATTCTCGCGTCCGAACTTCTGTGAGAATCTCTGGACATCTCTGAACTAGACACCCCGCGTGAAACATTCCCATAAACCCAAAACCTCGGAGCTGGCCGAAACTCTCTGAGAGTTTTTCGGCCCGCGAAATTTGGCGCGCCCGGATTTCCCTTTCCGAGATTCTCTGAAATCGGCCTGCGGCGGCGCCCAGCAGGTCCTCACGCGCCGAGGGTGGGGGCCGTGGACATCGCAGGCCGCGATGGTCCCGACCACGAGGTCCTTCCTCCTGCCCCTCGACGAGTCCCCGCTCATGGACGCGCTCTCTGCGCTGAGCGTGGGCCGCGCCATTCGCCGGTACTTCTGCGCGACGACAGCCAACTGGCCGCCGACGGACACGGCGATTCTTTTCCGAGCTGCGCGTGCCACCGAAAACGTACAATAGCCCCAGGCTCGGGGAGAAACACTTTCGAAGCATTTTGAGGCCGCCAGCGTCGCGGCTGCCGACCCGCCGCGCGCCGACCGCGAGACTAGCTGGGCCCGCTACGTCCACGGCGGCGGGCGGGCGCCCGAGAGAACTGTCGCGACGGTGCGCGCGGCGGGGCGCCCGTTCCACTGCAACCGCACATGCGGCCTCCATGGCGCCACAGGCGTAATATGTGTGACGCGCTCTCGGGCCTCCCATTAACGCATCGGCCAGCGCCCAAGCCCCTGAAACGCAAACCTACTGCGCCCCCCGTGCAAGCCGCGCACCCGCTCCCAATGCTCGTGCACGCCAGCTTTTCTGCCCGCCCTCAACTGTTTAATTGAGCGCCCATGCGTTACTTGGGCTCCTCAAGCCCTCGAAAAGTCCTTGGGGAACTTCTGCGAATGCGCGCGCTGCGCTCCACAATTCGGCGCTCTATTTTTCTTTGGAACTCTCTCAGAATCTCTGGTTCCGATTTGTCCCGATCTTCCGCTCAACTGAGTAACGTGTCTGGTGCGAATGGGGCGTGTGGATGTCGGTGTGGGAGCTCGGGTTGCCCTTGTTGTGTACGAAACAGGTAAACGAGCGCACCGGCTGAGACCGCATGCCGGCCGAACTTGCCCGCGCGAGGTCACTCTGTGAGCTGCGCCCCGCAAGTAGTATCCGATTGCAAACTGCGCGCGGCCGGGGGAACCGACGTCGGTTCCAGCGGGCACTCTCAAAGGTTGTTCGAACTAAGTTTGGCCAGACGCAGGTGCGCTTCGTGCGCGGGGGCGCAGCTGGGCGCAACGTCGCCCCAGCGTGAGTAACGCAACGCGCTGTTGGACACAAGCGTGGCATACCTCCGCCTTTGCGCGCGCTCCAGCGCACAGCTGAACGCGCCGATGTCACGCGCGCGCTGCAAGGCGCGCGAGCATGGCGCGGGCATGGCGCGGCGCGCGCAATGAAACGCGCGCACTTCTGCGTCCAAAACTGCCGCGGCATACGGCGCGCAGATTGCCGTGCAGCCGCGTGTCTAAACTGGATGGCCCACGGTAGCGCGTGGACGTAATCTTGCGGACGGATGCACAACACGTGTGTCAGCGTGCCTGAAGCTACGCACTCAGTGCATCGTGCGCCAGGGCGCCAGGGCGCATCGCGTGCGCTAGAGCGTCGGGCAACATGTTCTGCTGTCAGATTCACCTGTAAGTCAGTGGCGCAACTCTGCCCTGCTTGCCTGTCAACCGTATTCCACATTGCTGCATTGTTGAATAAGAGAACGGGCGGCGCGCCTGAAGTGAAGCCGACGGGTGGTCGTAGATCGGACCTCTTCCCTGTTCCATCAGCACGCGGCGCGACAGCAATAGGTGCCAACGACATGCCTGGACGCTTTATTAAGAAAAAGCGTTGGTGCAAGTGGTAGCGAGGCCCCTGTCGAACCTTTCGTCGAAAACTAAACGGAAGAAGACGAAGCACGGCTGCTCGGAATCGCCGAAGTGGTCGAAAGGACAATGGGTCGTGGCGTCGCCGGTCGTGGCGTAGCCGACGTGCTGGCTGTATCTGGGCGTGGTGTCTGCAGCACTCGCTGGATGCGTGTCTGGCTGGTTGCGGTCCAGTCGGGACAAGCGCATGCATCGGCGACGTGCGGTTGATGATGAGTAGCTTGCTGCCCCCGGTCGCCAAGATGGATGTTTCCCTCGATAATGCCCCGCCGCGACGTGAGCTACGGAAACGCCTCGGGACTCGGGCCTGCGCAGGGACGAACGCCACGTTTGAGCTGGTGGCAACCGTCGTAGTGCCGTTGCCCTTGGGTGGCGCCAAAAAACGTTTAGTGTTCCAATCGAGCGGGGCGGCGCGCTCGCAAGGACAGCCAGCGCAGTCGCACGCGTCGCGAGGTGCGGCATTCGCCCGGGGAGGGTTCTCGGAGTCATTCCAAACGCGAAACTTTGGCCAGTGCCTGTGGGGTGCGATGGGTCCGGTCAACGTCGCGGTGCTCCCGTGGGCGCGTCGCTCCATATCGCGTTATAGCCTGCAGCCATTGACGCCCGCCGCAGCTGGACTCTCGCACGTCTCGCACGGTCCAGCGTTTGTCTCATCATAGCCTGTAAGCGTCCAGGGCGAATTGCCACGCGGTTTGCTGAGCGCTCATGAGCACAAGCTGCTCGGGGAACGGAGGGTGGATCCAATGAAGGGATGTGGGGAGCAGAATGCGCAGCTCTGTGGAACGCGAGTTGGGATTGTTTCCAGCTCCGCTACCAAGTAACCTTGCGGATGGCAGTGGCGAAAGAGAGAAGACATGGCGGCACTAACAAGAGTAGAACAACGGTCCTTTTCCTTTTACGGGTATACTGACGTGCGCGCGCTGTGAGTCAGAATGGTGGCGGGTGCGCGCCCGTAGTCCTATTCGAGAGATAAAGGGGAGGAGGTCGAGGAGGAGGAGGAGGAGGAGGAGGAAGAGGAGAAAAAAGGCGGAGAAAAGGATGATGTGAGAGGGGTGGAGGAGGAGGAGGAGGAGGAGGAGGAGGAGGAGGAGGAGGAGGAGGAGGAGGAGGAGGAGGGAGGCCGGAGGACGAGGAAACTCAACCATTCTGGAGAAGGACGTCCAAACAAAACTGGAAGGGGAAACGCTGGCAGGGAACGGGGCGAGGCGAGGGCCCCTCCTTGCCCCGCTCCTCGCCGCAGCCGTGGGGGTGCTGCGCCCCCCCCCCCCCGCCCCAGGGGAACCCGCTGCATCGGCGATCGGCCACCTCCATCGGGGGAGACGAAAGGGCACACGTCGATCGGAAAAAGTTGGTAAAAACGTGAAGTAGGAAGGCGGATAATTAGAATGGGTATGGCCTATCCAAAATGAAATCACAGGGCAGCAAAAACATGTCGATTCTCGAAGTCGGAAGGCGCTTCAAGTAGATTGGGAGCTCCCTCCAGACCTTCCCGCCGGGGCTCGCCGCCGAAGTCTAACCGCCAGTCAACTGCGTCCGCCCCACTCTCAAGGGCGCGCAAACATGGATCAACGATCCATGGATTCGACGCGTGGTCGCCAAATCCATGGATCGGGGGAGGTGCCCTCTCCAAAATGGAACCGGTGCCACCTCTCTCGGCGGCGGAAATCCGCGATTTCCCATGGAAGCGGGGCCTGTCGCTAATCCACGCCCCCATTGATCCATGTTTGCGATCGCCTGACTCTCGGAACTGAGGCGGGGCAGCGGCAGGGAAGCCGCTCCCCCCGCGCGCAGGGGCGACCGGAGGGCGGGGCACTCGGCCCACAGCAGGCTCAGCGCCACGCTCGCGGCCGTGGCGGCGGCCGCGGCGCGGCCCCCGCCGCTGCCCCAGAAGCGCCTGGAGCAGTCGTCGTCGTCGTCGTCGTCGTCGTCGTCGTCGTCGTCGTCGTCGTCGTCGTCGTCGTCGTCGTCGTCGTCCACCTCCTCCTCTTCCTCCTCTTCCTCCACCTCTTGTTCGCCTCCTCCTCTTGTTCTCCTCCTCCTCTTTTTCTCCTCCTCCTCCTCCTCCGTTCCTCCTGCTCTTCCTCCTCATCCTCTTCCTCCTCTTCCTCCTTGTCCCTTCCTTTCCTTTCCCTTCGCCCTCCTACATTTGTCCTCCTCACATCCAGTCGGCGGGCCCAGCCCCCACACCAGGCGCAGGGCGGCGACGTGGCCAGGCGCAGCACCCGCGGCGCTCCGCCCGTCTTCCGCCTTCCCCCCTACGCCCCCCAAAGAGTTCCCTCTGCCATCAGTCCTCCGTCGTCCCCCCTCCCAGGTCCCTCCTCCCTCCTCCCTCCTCCCTCCTCCTCCTCCTCCTCCTCCTCCTCCTCCTCCTCCTCCTCCTCCTCCTCCTTCCCTCCCTTTCTCCCTCCCTCCCTCCTCCCTCCCTTCCTCCCTCCTCCTCCTCCTCCCCTCCTCCTCCTCCTCCTCCTCCTCCTCCTCCTCCTCCTCCTCCTCCCTCCTCCCTCCTCCTCCTCCTCCTCCTCTCCATTTCCCGCCCTCCCTCGTCTCCCTCCTCCTCCCCCTTTCTCCCTCCCTCCCTCCTCCTCCCTCCTCTCTCTCCTCCTCCTCCTCCTCCTCCTCCTCCTCCTCCTTTTCCCTCCCGCCCCTTGTCCTCACTCCTCCTCCCTCCGAGGCGTCTTGAAGGCAGGGGATTTCTTGGCAAGATGCTTCACACCTCCCACGACTTGTGGGAGAAAGGCTCATATTGCTTTTGTAGTAAATGCGGACGGTACACGTCCTCTGCGAATCCTGGTTTTCTAACAGGTTTGTGTGAAGTCGACCAATATGGTCGACATGATCTTGTCAAGGCGCAGTACACTTCGCTGCAGCGCCTCAGGAAGGGATTGCCTCCCAGGTGCGGAATCAGCTCCTGGGGTGAAGGGTACAGTGGGCACAGTGCCCCTACACCCTCAACCTCCTCTTGCAATGGGGGTGGTCGGATCTCCTCGTGATCCGTGTCTGTTTCACCAGGCGTTCAATCTCAGGTTTCCTGATGCTTGTGCTGCCTGCAGCTCCTAGCAAAAAGCCTCCCTCCCTCCCTTCTTACCCTCCTCCTCCTCATCCTCCTCCTCCAGCTCCTCCTCTTCCTCCTCCTGCTCCTCCTCCTCCTCCTCCTCCTGCTGCTGCTGCTCCTCCTCCTCCTCCTCCTCCTCCTCCTCCTCGTGCTGCTGCTCCTCCTCCTCCTCCTCCTCCTCCTCCTCCTCCTCCTCCTCCTCCTCCTCCTCCCTCCTCCTCCTCCTCCTCCTCCTCCTCCTCCTCCTCCTCCTCCTCCTCCTCCGCCTCCTGCTCCTGCTGCCTGCTGCCTGCTCCTTGCTGCTTGCTCCCTGCTGCCTGCTGCCTGCTGCCTGCTTCCCTGCTCCCTGCTCCTCTCCCTGCTCCCTGCTCCCTGCTGCCCTCCTCCCTGCTCCCCCCTCCCCCCCTCCCTCCTCCTCCTCCTCCTCCTCCCTCCTCCCTCCTCCCTCCTCCTCCCTCCTCCCCTCCTCCTCCTCCTCCTCCTCTCCTCCTGCTCCTCCTCCTCCGCTCCTCCTCCTCCTCTCCTCCTCCTCCTCCGCCTCCTCCTCCTCCTGTTCCTCCTCCTCCTTCCTGTTCCTCCTCCTCCTTCTGCTCCTTGCTCCCTGCTCCTGCTCCGTGCTTCCTCCACCCTCCCACCTCCCTCCTCCCTCCTCCCTCCTCCCCCTCTCCCTCCTCCCTCCTCCTCCTCCCTCCTCCTCCTCCTCCCTCCTCCTCCTCCTCCTCCTCCTCCTCCTCCTCCTCCTCCCCTCCTCCTCGTCCTCCTTCTCCTCCTCCTCCGTCCTTCTCGTGTTTCTCCTCCTCCTCCGTCCTCCTCCTCCTCCTCCTCCTCCTCCTCCTCCTGAAAACGAAACCAGGAAGAATCATCGACTTTCAGACGAGTAGAGAACAGAAAAGGGGTCTTACGCGAGATGGCGTAGCGACCTTGCGCGGTGGCCTACGCGGGCCGCCAGAGCGGCATTCCACATGGGAAACGAGGGCGCTGGCGCGCGACCTTACGCGGGCAGCTTACGCGGCAATGTCGCAGCGATTGAACCAAATTCCTGTGTCGCTCAGATGGGGATACAACTGCATCTCTGAGAGCCGGCGGGTTCTGGATGATGTGTCGCGCGCAGCGGCCGTTCCAGAGTGCTGCAGAACGCTCTGAGATCGTTTCGGTACGCCGCTGAGCTATTTGTGATGTATCGTTTTCCGATTGCAGGGGATGGACATGGACAAACAGCCTCAGGATCTAATGAACGCAGACATGACGAACCATGGTGCTGTTCAGTGGGCTGCTGGCAAATACCTGGGCTGCGCATCGTCTGATCTCTGGTAAAACTTCCTCACCATGACGAACAGGAAGGGGCAGGAAGGAAACAATAGAGGGGGAACGGCGAGGGGTCAGAGAAGGACGGCAGGGGAGATGAGAAAGGGGAGGGGCTTGCGTTACATCTGACATCCAACCACTCCCACCCATCGCTTTCTATTTTCAATTGCACAAATGTTTCTCTAATTCCCACCAGCCCTTCCGGCGACAAGTGGTCTGATGAGATCCCTCTTCCCTCTTCTAAAAAGACCCTCCCTACGGGGAGGGAATTACCCTCCCCTTGTCCCTCCCCTGGACTTTTTTGGGGAAGCTCGCAAGGTGTCAGGTCGTCCAAAACGGCCTCTGGTGCTGCTCTTTGGCCATTCCCTAGCTGGTACTCATCCGCCAACTCCAAATCGTATCTCGCGTTATCCAAAGCTTTGAGCACTTTCTCGTTAACACCCTCTGCTTTCTGTTTGCTGCATCGCGTATTACTTCTTCAGCAGACTGGCGTAGAGCCCCCGTAGCGAAGATTGTAGGCGCGGCTGTAGTTGTTTCTGTCACCTGCCTGAGGGTTGCCAAAGCCGCCGCAACTTCAGCAGCGCTAGTTCCTGCCAGCTGTCCGTCGGGAAATGGTAATGCTGTTACTGCAACTGGTACATCTCGGAGAGAGCGTCATCTGCATCGACACTCCCACGTCCAGGTATATTGTTGCTGCTTGCCGTCGCGTTTTGAACTTGCGCGCGCATTTCGTGCAGATGTCGTGCAGATGTAGCCGGCATTGTCCAAAATTGTCCTCGTCGTGGTACTGCCGATTGGCTTCGCAACGCATCCGGAGTAGTTTGCTCCATGATGTGTCGGAGATCGCTGTCGGACATCGCGGTTATCCATGAGGCTGGCTTCCTGCAAGGTGCTTCCGATTGCCACTCCCTCCACGCACAGTGGTGGACCAAGATGACCCCATCCAATTATCAGCCCACGTGGGTGGGTTTGGCCAACCCCATTGAACAGAACGCACATCAGAACTATCGTGTTCTTTGCGGCCGCACGGAGTTCGTGGTGCTTTGGTCTCATAGAGGCGCGGGGCTCTGTGCGAGGAAACGAGACACACCCCTGCTTCGCACAGGGAAAGAACTTACACTGGCTGTAGATCAGCCTTTTTTTATATTAAAAAATGACTACGCATGGGCAACGGCAGGGCCCTCCTCACTGTGGCGGGAGGCGCCGATTGGTGTGACAGGGGTGGTAAAAGATGTCCCTCCCCCTGGCGCTGTTGAAAGGGGCCCCGACTGGAGGCAGCAAGAGAGAAAGAGAGAGAGAGAGAGAGAAAAACCAAGAATAACAACGTATCAGAGACACCACACACATGCACAACCCCCAACAATCCCTTTGGACGTGGGTGGATGTCGAGCTTTTCCGCTTCCACCTCTCCTTCGGGGAGGGGTAAAGTCCCTTCCCCTGACCTCTCCCCCTGGACAAGGGGGTTTCGCGACCCATCGGGGCGTCGAAGGAGGCCTCGGCGAGGAGGCACCCATCGCTGATTCTGTCTTTCTGCGGGGGGGAGGGGGGGGAACATGGTATCCCCCTCCTTTGGACGACCTCCTACATCATGGCCCGAAGCTGGCCACCGAGGCTCGCAAGGGTCCCCCGAAACAGCCCAAAGCGGGCCCCAAGAGGCGCCCACGAGGCCCCAAGAGGCCCCCAAGAGGCTCCCAAGAGAGCCCCAAGAGGATTTCCCGAGGCGCATAAGACGCTCCACAGCGCCTCCGGGACCGCCAAGAGGCCCCCAAGACGCCCTGATGGACCCCAAGAAACTCCCAAGAGACATCCGAACAGACTCCGAGAGACATCCAAGAAGCCTACGGCCTGTCTCATCGCCCTCCTACTCCTCCTCTTATTTCCCGTCCGCCTGTTCCTCCTCCTCCTCCTCCTCCTCCTCCTCCTCCTCCTCGTCCCTCCCTCCTCCCCTTCCCCCTCCTCCTGCTGTTCCAACGATTCCTCATCCATCCTCCGCCTCTTGGGGCACGGCTTTTCCCCCAGTCCTTTGTTTAACCGCATTCTCCTTCACTTCCCTGATCAAGGCAAGCCGCTTGGGGGTCCGTCTCTGGATGGGATGTTGGGGTTACTTTTGGGTACGTAAGCGCACAAAGCGAGTAGGACGCCGGGCACACAGGGGCAGGCTGTGCCACCTGCGAAGGAAAACACAGGGCAGCGGGATGGTGGGGTTACGCGAAGCGTCCCGAACAGAGGAGAAAGAGAGAAATATAGACAGACATAGAGAGAGAGAGAGACAGATGGAGAGGAGGGGCAAGAACGAGATCACGAGAGAGAGAGAGAGAAAGCAAGAGAGAGAGGGGGTGGAAGATGGGGAGCACAATCAGTATACAAAGAGAGAATGAGAGAGAGAGAGAGAGAGAAAAAAAAAAAAAAAAAACAGAGAGAGAGAGAGAAACAGAGACAGAGACAGAGCAAGAGGAACAGCAAAAGGGAGAGAGCCACGGTGACAGAGCGCAAGAGAAAGAGAGAGATGCAGAGAGAGAGAGAGAGATAGAAAGAGAGAGAGAGAGAGAAAGAAAGAAAGAAACAAGGGGAAAAGAGAGAGGGAGAGGGAGAGAGAGAAAGAGAGAGAGAGAGAGAGAGAGAGAGAGAAAAACAAAAAAACGGCCAAGGTGGCGTGGAGGGGGCGCTCCTCGAGCGCCGCAGGCTCGCCGCCTGCGGGCGAGGAGGGCCGAGCCGGGCGGCCGCGCGGGGGGCGCGCGCGCTGGCTGCCCGCTCTCCGCTCCGAGGGGGCGTGGCGCGCCGCCGGCCTCGTGGCCCTCCGGGAGAGCAGGGCACTGTTGTGCCACTTTTTTACTCCTCCTCCTCCGGATCCCCGCTTTTTTACTCCTCCTCCCCGGTGGGAGAAGGTGGAGGAGGAGGAGGAGGAGGACGAGGAGGGGAAGGAGGACTGAGAGGAGGAGGAGGAGCAGGAGGAGCAGGAGGAGGAGGAAGAGGAGGAGGGGGAGGAAACGGAGGAGGAAGAGGAGGAGGAGGAAGCGGAGGAGGACGAGGAAGGGGAGGACTACCCTGCCAACGACTGCATGTCTAATACTCTGTGCCCTCGCGGGCCGCTCCAATTTCCAGTGTCTCTTCACGCTTCCTGCGCCGCTGAATCTGCATTGGAGTAACTTTGCTGGTTGCTGTGATCGTTCAGTCCTTCTTTTCCACAGAAGAAGACAACCAACCGCCTCGTCGTTCATGTTTGCCTGGCAAAAGAATGAGGAGGAAGATCCTGAAAAGGGGGGACAAAGTCGTCGTACGTTTTCGTGACAAGACCACGAAGAGGGAGGGTCTTGGAAGGAAGGGGGATGAGGAGGGAAACCACCAAACTCGCTACAGGCCTAGAGGGAATGGGTACCTAAAACGCTTTTAGGGATGGGGCGGTAATCGGCGAAGCAATGGAGACTGCTGATCAACACGCGATGTTTTTCATACAAACGTCGTCGTAATTACGTTTTGTGATGGGGATGGGAATGCGGGGATTAAGAGGGGTCCCAGGACGGAGGGAGATAATGGGAGGAAGGGGGAGTACACCGGGGGGGGGAGAGGGGGAAGGGCAAGCTAGGTGCGCTCGCACCTCACTTGACATCCTTTCCCTCCCTCCCACCTTTCCCCACGGCACGGACTTGTTCATGACGTGCGGACGCGTGTCGTAGCCAACCCGCGGCTCGCACAGAAAACCCTCTTCGTGGCATGCGAGATCGGAAAGAGGGACGCGCGAGCACAGGAACAGGTGGCCAGGAACCATAGCGTGCAATGGAAAAGGTTATCTTTTAATGCAAGAAGCCCACGGACATGGCGACAATTGCGCAGATCGCAGCCCACAGGGCACGGCGAGGTCTCGAGGTGATCCGCGTGGGACGTACATCCGCTGGGCCTCCCAGGAGCCCACGAAAGTGGCGACAATTGCGCAGATCGCAGCCCCCCAGGGCGCCGCGAGGTCTCGAGGTGGTCCGCGTGGGACCCACCTCCGCTGGGCCTCCCAGAAACCCACGAACGTGGCAACAAGTGCGCAAATCGCAGCCCCCATGGCACCGCGAGGTCTCGAGGTGGAAGCTGACGAACTTCCGTACCCCAGGGCCAACAACAGCAGCGGACACGGAGACGATTAACAGGGCAAGAGACAAGGGATGGTTGGCAAGGTCCCGTTCGAGTCTGGTGCTCAAGCGAAGCTGCTGTGCCTCGCCGGCTTGGCATGCAAGCCGCAGTCAAGCCAACGCAACAAAAAAAGCAAGCTGACTTTGCAGTGAGAGAACCTTCAACTACCCAGGTTATTTATGTAACGCTCGTGAGAGAGAGAGAGGGAGGAGACAAAACATGAGAGAAAGAGAAACAATACACACTCTAGATACTGACCCGGCTCCTCATAACATCATGCGTGGTTGAGGCCTTCTGCTGACGAGGCCTCAGCATAGCGCTGCACTGAAAAATGGATGCCGCGCCAGAAGGGCCCTCTGCTGACCGCACTGTCATGTTGAGTTGGACTCAGAAATCTTGCGCGCCGCCCTCAGCCTGCGCACGCCACTTCCGCCAGCCTCGAACGGCGACATCCCAGGGCTCTCCAGACCCCTGGGAGTGTCCACAGTGGGGGGCCGTACAAGCTCCGAAAAGGGCCCAAGACCCCCAGCTCTCGGGAGGCCCGGGACGCTCTCTGGCGCCTTCGGGGCGCTCCCGTGGGGGACAACACAAGGGGGTGGCCGTCTCAGGAGGTCAAGCTTCGCGCTTGCATCGGCGATACCTCGCCGCCACATCGGCGACGGACCCTCGACAGAAAATCCGCACCGCCCTGGGCGGGGCGGGCCCCGGGGCCCGCCTCAGCGATGCGTGGGCGCTTGGGGGGTCGATGCGTCCCCCCCGAAGCCCATGCGCCTCGCACGGCCCCTGACGAGGGCCCCCCCCCTCTCGGGGATGGACAGACCTCCCTTTTGTAAAACGTGGTTCAGTGAAAACGACCTAAGGCCCAGACCTGGCGGGCGCAAGCCTGGAGAATAACGGCCGCGGCGCCCTCTCGAGAGCCGAAAACGGACAATTCACTAATCGACGTGTCACTGCTGAGGGTTCTGTCCGCCCCCGACCCTCGAGCCGGTCCCCCCCGCACGTCCCCCGGGGCACTCCCCGGGCGCCTTCGGGGCGCTCCGACGGGGCCCCCGTGCCGCCTTCCCGGGGGCCTCCAATACCCCCAGGCGCGGGCTCCAGACTTCCAGCGAGCTTCCAGGTGGCCAGCGGGCCGTTCTGGAGGTCCCTCGGCTGCCCTGGAAAGAGTCCGGCCCAAGAGGCGAACATCTTCCAACACCCGGTCTGCATAATTCTGGCATCGCCGCCTTTGTTGATCTAAAGAGTCTAAGAGGACACGAGATGTTTCCAAGACCGCCCCCGATCTGCAAAAGGAGGGCCCCCCAAGGGGGAACTCGAGTGGGCTCCAGGAGCCCTCCACCCGAACGTTGCCTTGCCCCCGAGACCTCTCAGCAGGCCCCAGGGAATCGTCGAGAGGTCACTGGAGCCCAGGACGCTCCTAGCAGGCTCCCAGGAAGCCCACGAGCCACTCCTGATGCACAAGTCAGGCACGTTGCCTGCATGGGCCGAGGGCGACCGGATCCCCCGCCTCGCCCCTCGCTTCGCCGCAGGGGCGCCCGTCGCAGGAAGGTCTCGAGGCGTTCGGAGGGCGCGGAACCTGCGCGGAGGGGCCCCCGGAGGCGCAGCAGCTGCGTCGAGGCATGGGCTGCACAGGGAGAAAGCGCAGCGGTGCGAGCAGCCGCCAGGCCGCCCTCTCCGTGTGTTGCATCACTTTCGGACGCCGCGCGGCGTGACTCCGCCCCCCCTCCGGGCGCCTCGAGATGGGCTGCGCTGAGGATCCCTGGAGATCCTGGGGGACACTCGGGGCGACGAACGACCACCGCCGTGGACAGCATCCGGGCCTCGCTGAGACCAGGGGGGTGCGGCCTGCGGTCTCTGAAAACTGGCGCATCTGGGCATGATGCAACAGCATTGAAAGCAGGGGGGGAGAAGGTCCTTGATGTCGGAGTCGGCGTGCTGTCTGCTCGCATGGTCAGGCCTTCAAAAGACTTGAAGAATCCAAGGGGTCCCGCAAACCCCTTCGAGGCTCCCAAGCAATGCGATTGGAACAAATTCTGTATAATTCGCGAAGACGCTCGTTACCGGCTCCGACCTCCCACCGCTTCCCCCCCGTGGTAACGTCACTATTCGCGCGGGCGCCGTCTTGGATCTAGCTATTCCCAAACATTCCCAAACGGCGCCAGCGCGAATCGAAATGCTACCGCCCCCCCCCCCCCCGCCCTCCCCTGGTCACGGCCGTTACACCTTCCGCCTCATGTCATCGCACCACGACCCCGCCAAAGGCGAGGCCAATGCGCTAGATGAGCTTCTGCCGCTCAGCCAGCTCTAGCGCTCCAATCTTGAGCTAGCACCGAATCAGGCACAAATTCGGAACAAAAATCGCCAGGGAACAGAACGATGTTCTAAAGAGGAACCATCTTGTCAGGACTGTTAAGCTCGAACAGGGAACGATCAAGCAGGATTAGGCCGGACTGGGCCGGAATATGCCGAAGAATACCAGCGCCGATGCTGAAGTTGACCTCCCAGGAGATGCCAACCTGACCACCACAACCACTGCGCGATCCACCCCACCCACAGTCATCCGACACCTCGCAGTAGCCATCCCTGCGACTGCGGGGCACCGAGCGGGGCGAGGACTGGCTTAGCTGGGGGGGGGGGACACCAATCCGGAATCGAAGGCACAACGGGCGATAGGTCGGCGATGGGCCCCCGATGGGGGAACCCCCACGCTTCTGGGCAGGTCGGGGCACCCGGAGTGGGCGCTGGGGCGTCGATGCCTCCCCGCCCCCCCATCCCCGAGTAAGTCCCCCCCCCCTTGGAGGCCGCCTAATGGGATCCGAGCAAGTGGGGTCGGGAAATCGTGCCGCGCCGCCGACACCTCGGCGATGCCTCGGCAACGTGGGGATGTAGCAGAGCGAGCTCCGATTCGAGCCGCATGGCGGATGCATCGGCGATGCGGCGCGATCCTCCGACCACATCTGATCGTACCCAGCGTGTGCGGCATGGACCAGCTGCACGCAGGAGCGACCCGATGCAGGCCCTGGGTAGGCAACGGTGACCTCTGGTGCGCAGCGTTGCGTCGCGCAGGGGCCGAATCTAAGCGCGCAAGCCAATGCTGAGGAGGCCCCTGCGGGCCCGCACCCAAGGTCACTCCGGCGAAGGGTCGCTCTCACGCGTAGCCGACTGGACCTTTCGGCGCCCTCGAACGACCGCCTCTGACCGTGCTGGACGCGCCCCCCATGCGTAAGCTGTGGCGGGCGACCAGGCGGCGGGGGCGCGCGCGCCTGCACAAGCGGAACCGTGCACTGCAACACGCTGCACAGCACCGCCAGCCAAGCGAACGCCTCTGCCGGGAGCAGGTCCAAAGGGAGACCGCGGAAAACGTGGTAATCTGATGTTCAGAACTTCTGCGACGAGTATGGGGTCGGCGGCTGGAGAGTAGCAGCCAAAGACACGCAGTCCTGGAACTGTATGACAGGAGGTTTCCTCACTACATTGGCGCCTGCATTTTTTTAATCCGCCTGTGCCAGAAGCGGCCGCCACTCTGCTGGCATACAGGCTTGACCCCATGGCCCCTTGATACAGAAGCACTGACCATAGAATAGGAGTAGCACCACATTCCATAAACATACCCTTTTGGAGGCCCGCGCAGAGTTGTTGGTTCGGCGCTGGTCCACCTGGCGACGTCTCCAGCCCGCTTCGCGCGCCAGGGTAGGGAATCGAGCACCCATCAAAAGAATCTGCGCGAACCTGCGCAAGCTGATATGTGTGCAATTTCCCACGAAAGTGGTTGCACCAATGAATTCTTACTTCTGTCTGCAAGCAATTGGATGGGCCTGGCGGGGCGTCGCCTGGTGGGAAACTGTGGGCGCCTCGTGGGAGCTTCGTGGGCCGGTAGGGTGTCCAAGTTTCGCCCCTGGTGGTGTGTGGCCGTGGGCGTATCGTGTCTTTACACCACGTGGCTTGTACCACACGTGGCTTGCACCACACTGCTTGCACAACATTGACTGCACCACACAGCTTGCGCCACACACGCACGCACACACACACACACACTTACACTAACACACTCTCACTTACACACACTTGCACAGACACACACCTACACACATATTTGGACGCCCGAAATGGGTACCGAAAGAATGGGCACCATGCCCAACAGCAAATGTTGTCCCAAACCAACAGCGGCCGCTGTTGGGCGGGCGGCCTCCTGTCTCGAATGGACACAGGCCGCGGCGGCGTGGACAGCCGACCTTGTTCAAAATGAACAAGATCCGCTGTTGGGCATAGTACCCATTCTTTCAGTACCCATTTCGGGCGTCCAGAACTTACACACACCTAGACACATAGACACACTTACACACACTCGCACACAAGCACACACTTACACACTTAGACACGCTTACACATATATACACGTACACACAACACATCACACAACACACACGCGCACACACGCACGCACACACACACACGGATACACACAGATAGATGTAGGTATCAATGTATTGTGCAGCCTTGCTTGCAGCGAGTATTTGCACCACATAGCGGGCACCGTGCAACTTACACATCCTGTGACATGGCCCACTGTTCGGCGTCCACGCTGGCAAATATTCCTTGCCGGAAACTAAATGACACACCAACTTCGAAAAACAAGATCGCACACGCACCACACCATATGTTCAAAGTCTAGTGAGCCTTCCGTAAACCATCTCCCTCTAGAGGAGAGTGTAATAGGCACTTCAAGCGGACTAGACAGCACACGCCAGCATGGGCGTGCGAGGGAGGGAGAAAGGAGAGAAACAGGAGGGGAAAAAGGTCGAGGAGGAGGAAGAGGAGGAGGGCTCAGGAGGACGAAGAGGAAGATGAAATCGCCGCAGGAGTGCGACGAAGGACGCCTTCGAAGGGGCAGAGCGAACAACTTTCGTCGGCGGCGAGGCAGAGGCGGTCCGCTCCAGCATGTGGCAACTCGGGGGCAACCGCATGGCTGATTGGCCGGCGCGCAGAAGAGGGGAAAGGATGAGGGCGGCCGCGCAGAGGGAGGGGGAGGAAAGAGCACGCAGGGGTAGAGCGAGCATAGATGTATACATGCACATAAATGTATACATAATGTACATATACACATACACACAATAGACATATATATACACATACACATACACCGATGCCGCTGCTCCCTGGACCTCGCCTGGGGCGCGTTCCGACCAAGACCCCGGGGCGAACCCGACCACGGCGCCCAGGGATGGGCAGAGACGCCGGCACACCTCGGTGCCTCTGCCTCTTCTGGGGGAGGGGCCCCAGGCCTCTACCTCCTCCTCCTCCTCCTCCTCCTCCTCCTCCTCCTCCTCCATCCCTTTTCCTTGAAATGATTTCTCCCTGTCGCACCCCGAGGCCAGTTTTTAGGGCAGGGCGGGCGTGTCGCCTGAGAGTTCCTCACCATTTATGACCCTGAAACTTAAACATTGATAACAGTTTCACATATGGAGGGCGGGTGGTTTTCAAAGTATGTCTCTCGTTTCAGCGCCGCGCACACTCGCTCTAAACAATTGCAGAAATTTCGCGGATGTGGTTTTCAAAATGTGGCTCTCGCCTTAGCGCCGCGCACGTTCGCTTTACACATTTGCGAAATGTTCGCGGATTGGGCGCGGGTGGTTTTCAACAAGTGGCTCTCGCCTTAGCGCCGCGCACATTCGTTGTAAACATTTGCAAGAGCTTCACGGATTGAGGGCGGGTGGTTCTCAAAACGTGGCTCTCGCCTTAGCACCGCGCACGTTCGCTTTAAAACTTTGCAAGGGTTTCACGGATTGAAGACTAGTGGTTTTCGAAATATGGCTCTCGCCTTAGCGCCGCGCACGTTCGCTTTACACATTTGCGAAATGTTCGCGGATTGGGCGCGGGTGGTTTTCAACAAGTGGCTCTCGCCTTAGCGCCGCGCACATTCGTTGTAAACATTTGCAAGAGCTTCACGGATTGAGGGCGGGTGGTTCTCAAAACGTGGCTCTCGCCTTAGCACCGCGCACGTTCGCTTTAAAACTTTGCAAGGGTTTCACGGATTGAAGACTAGTGGTTTTCGAAATATGGCTCTCGCCTTAGCGCCGCGCACGTTCGCTTTCAAAATTTGCAAGAGCTTCACGGGTAGAGTGCGGTTCCTTTTCAAACGGTGGCTCTTGCCTTAGCACCGCGCACAGTCGTTTTTAATTTGAAAGTGTTTCACGGATTCGCAGGATCAACGAACCAGAAGTTGTGATTTGGAAAGATTCAGGATTATGAGGGTGCAACAGTTACGCTGATGGGCGGTGTTAAAGTCCCAGAAATGGTGTTCTGGCACGGTTCAACATCGTCAAGACGCAACAGTCAGTTTGATCCGTGGCGTTGGAGTCCCGAGAACCATGTTCTGGCATGCTTCAAGGTCTTCAAACGGTTGTCTCCAACGAGGCCGTTCCGAACCGTTGTAGGGGCCTATGAAGAGGGAGCTTGAAGGGAGGGTTGATTCCAACATCGTTGATCACTCTTGGGTTTCCACTGGTCCTCCTCCTCCTCCTCCTCCTCCCTCGTCCTCCTCCTCCTCCTCCCTCCTCCTCCTCCCTCTTCCCTCCTCCCTCCTCCTCCCTCCCTCCTCCTCCACCCTCCACCCTCCCCCTCCTCCCTCCTCCTCCTTCTCCTCCTCCCTCCTCCTCCTCCACCTCCTCCTCCTCCTCCCTCCTCCTTCTCCTCCTCCTCCCCCTCATTCTCTGGAACCCTCTGGGAGCGGCGCCGCTCCACTCCTGGGGGGGTGGCGTACCGCTCACGCAACAGATTCTCCCGGCGCTGGAGGCGCCAGTGTATCCGTGCAAGCACATGGCGGCGGGCCCAAAACTGGCTGGAGAGTTCATGCCCCCCCCACCCCCTCTGGAGAAACCAAGCGATACCGCTACTCCCTTGACCTCTCCTGGGGTGGGTGCGCTCTGACCAGGACTTCGAGGCGAATCCAGCGGTGGCGACGAGGGCATCCCAGGAGGCCCAAGAAAGGCGAAAACGCGTGAAGGGCAACAAAATGGGTACTTCTTCCTCCTCTGAAGCCGAGATTTCGAGGTGAATCCAGCGGTGGCGACGAGGGCCTCCAAGGTGGCCCTCAAAAAGCGAAAGCGAGGGAAGGGTAGCAAAACGGATACCTTTTCCCCTACTCGAAAAGGACCTCACCGCAAAGTCCGTCACCGCACGGGTCTGGGGACCTCGGAGTGGCCTCCTCCGAATGTTTACATTCGGGCGCGGCCTAACCGACCCCCAGCAAAACATCCCCTTTCGTGACGTCATCCTCGCCTTTCGAGCTCCCCTCCAGCCGCATACACAAGTCCTGGGGCGAGGCGAGGGGGACGCCGCGGAAGGGGATAGTTTGCTAGGGGTCGGTTAGGCCGACCCCGATGCATATATATATATATATACATATATAGTTAGTTATTTACTTATTTAGTTATGTATTTATTTATGTATGTATGTATGTGTACATGTATATATATATATATATATATATATATATATATATATATGTATGGGCCGCCCCCGATATATCCGAGTAGCTTCTGGGCCACACAGCTCGGGCCACCGGAGGCCGTGCGGCGGGACGACGCTCCAGGCAGGGGCGCCCGCGGCGAGGCGAAGCGGCTGGCGCGCAGCCCGGGGCGAGATGACCTTCAGGAACTCGTCGGCGACGAGCGATGGGGGTGAAAATTTGGGATGCGATCCAGCAGATGCGCCTCGCCGAGAGCGCTCCGGGGATGCCCGGATCGTCCCGAACGGCCGCCGGAGACCCTGAGTTGTGACCCAAAAACCAAATTCCGCGGCGGCGCGCCCAAGGGGGAAGTGAGAAGGAGAAGGCCTTCTCAGAAGGCGGCGGGGCTTCTCAGAAGCCCTCGGGCCTTCCGAGAAGTTTTTCTGTGTCCTCGGGGAAGGCTTAGAAAATTTCTCGGACGGCCTGGGGACTTCCGAGCCTTCTGAGAAGGCCTTCTCCTTCTCACTTGCCCCCCAGGGTCACCGCCGAACTTACGAAAGCGTCCGACAACCTAGGAAAACGACCGAAGCCATACGACACCCCGAATCCGCGGTGTGCCAGGGGAGGCCATAATCGAAGCGCTGAGTCGGATCGGCGATCGAAATGGATCGGATCGGCAGAAAGCGGCAGCCAAGTCGGAACAAGTCAGGTCAGCGGACATCGGCAGGCGAGCGGGCCTCGAGTGAGCAATCGGAGCCCGAATCGGAATCCGAGGAAGAGTCGGATCGGACTCGGCAACCATCGAGATGGAATCAAATCGAATCGGGGGGATCGGAACGAGTCCTGCGGTGTGGTCACCACTCCGACTGGGGGCCCCCGGCTCGCGTCCGGCCCGACCGCCGGGGCGCCTGCTGCGGAGCTGCGGGGCCAGCCGAGGAGGCCTGACCCGCGGAAGAGCGCGCGCGGGGCGCCGCGCGCGCGGCGGCAGCGGGGCGGAGAGGCCACAGAGAATCCAGTCAGAGCTGATGGAAAGGTTGGCGGCGCGCGCAAGGGGGTGGGAGGAGGGGGAGGGCGTCTTAAAAGGAGGCTGCTTCTTAGAAGGCGCCCGCCTCAAGAAGCAGGGGTGCTTCCAAGAAGCCCTCCCCCCTCCCCCCACCCCCCTCTGCGCGTGGCTGAGTCAGAGCTGATGGAAAGGATGCGCGAGAAGGATGCAAGCGCCTTGGACGCCCATGTCGAAGCTTTTCGAGCGGGGCGGGCCATCGAAAGGGGTCAAGGATGTACCGAGGAGGCAGCTTTTCTGTTCTGCCGCGGGGCTCCAGCTGTAGTGCCTCGGGTGGCTGCGTGAAAAGGAACAGACTCACGTCAACGAACTAGTGTCCCCGATAATCGATAATCAAAAGCTGGGGGTAATGAACAACAGGGTTCCTGGGGGATGATAAACTTTTTCCGGCAAGTTGCAACATAAGGAGATCTCGGGAAGAATGGACGGAATCCTTCGGAGTGTACGACTGTACGGAGTGCCTCGGAGTGTACGACTGTACGGAGTGCCCTATGGTATAACGATGCCGTGCTCGCTCTTGCGGGGCGTCCCTGTAGGGGTGGGAGGACAACGAAACCTCAAACATACACTGGTAGAGCGATACAATGCTCGCTCTGGCGGGGCCGCCCTGGAGGGGTGGGAGGGGCTGGAATCCTTCTAAAAACTATGGTATGCCGATGCCCATGCTCGCTCTGGCGGGGCCTCCCCGGAGGGGCGGGCGGAGCACGAAACCTGCGAAGACTCTGTCAACGACGGGTACTCTCCCGAATGGTACGGAAGTTCGGCCCCCCGTCGGCCCACCGCCGCCCAAAACCGTCTTGGCCAGAGATTGTCAGCGCAGTGGTGGGAAGGGCGGCGCTGGACTCGATTGTCCTGGTCAGGCAGCTACCCCTTGGGAAGGTCACCCATCCTTACCATCGGTTTCGACAGTAGAGGCCTCATATATGGATTCCGAGCATGTGGGGTCGGAGGGTCGCGCCGCGTCGCCGATCCGCCGCCGATGCATCGGCGACATCGGCTTGGAGAGCACGGGGCTCAGCATCGAGCCGCATCGCCGATGCCTCGGCGATGCGGCGCGGCGCTGCACGGAGGCAGCAGGGCGGGAAGACAAGGGGGGCGCTCAGGGGAGCGTGCTGGGATCCACGGATGAGGGGACCCCGAGATCTTGTCATCGCATTTTTGTCGCCACGGGCGAGGTCGCCCAGGTTCGGGCCCCAGGGACCTGTCGGATCGATCCGACTCGGCAGACGGCCTCAGAAAGATGGGGTCGAGGGCTCTGGTCGTGATTTTTTGCATGCTGGTGCATGTGCTTCGCAGCGGCAGATCGCAAGAGCTTTCGTGGGAGCGTTCTGGGATCCCCGGGTCTGGGGAGGGCCAGCTTCAACGGTAATGGGCCTTCGGGGAGGCACCTCGTCGGACGCTGCGGGGCGCTGCTCGGAGAGCTGGCGCCCGCCGGCGGTGGGAGGCCGTGGGTGGAAACAAAAGGGACGACGGCGTTGGAAATAGGCTGTCGGGTTTCCGCCCGCCCCCTGAGGAGGACGGAAAGCGTGAAGCCACGAGAGCGTTTCTTTGTTTTCGGCGATGGCGGGCGTCATGGGGGTGTGGGCGGGGGGGGGTCATGACGTTACGCCCCACCCCGCCGTGTGGCTCCGGCACCACAGCCGCGCCCGCGCGCACGACGACGATGAGCGACAAGCGACGAGCGACGACGACGACAACGCGAGCAGCATGTAGATGGCGATCTGTCCCACCGCGCATGTGTACACCACAATGCTCGCGTGCACCACAGCGCGCGTGTACACCGCAGCGCCTGCGTACACCGCAACAACCGTGTGCAACGCAACGCCTGTGTACACCACAGTCACGCCCTGGAGCCTCAGTTCTTGGACCCCCCCCACCGCGATTTCTCGTCCAACAACGACCGATGCCCCCCACCGCGCCCCCATCGCGCCCCCATCGCTCCCCCACCGCGCCCGGACACCCACCGCTCCCCCACCGCGCCCCCCACCGCTCCCCCACCGCGCCCGGACACCCACACCCCATGGAGTCTCAGTTCTTGGACTCCCCCACACCACGATTTCTGGTCCAACAACGACCGATACCCCCCACCGCGCTCCCCACCGCGCCCCGACACCCACACCCCATGGAGCCTCAGTTCTGGGACCCCCTCACACGACGATTGCTCGTCCAAAACGACCGACACCCCCCACCGCGCCCCCCCCGCCCCCCACCGCGCTCGGACACCCACACCCCCAGCCTCAGTTCTTGGACCCCCCTACCCACGATTTTCTCGTCCACAACGACCGACACCTCCCACCGCCCCCACCGCCCCGACACCCACACCCCATGGAGCCTCAGTTCTTGGACCCCCCCACCCACGATTTCTCGTCCAAAAACGACCGACACCCCCCCCAACCGCGCCCCCCACCGCGCACCGACACCCACACCCCATGGAGCCTCAGTTCTTGGACCCCCCCACACTACGATTTCTCGTCCAAAAACGACCGACGCCCCCCAACCATGCCCCCACCATGCCTCCACCATGCACCCACCATGCCCCCACCATGCCCCCGCCATGCCCCGGCATCCCCCCCCCGTGGAGCTTCTGTTCTTGGGACCCCCCATCTCGCCAGTTCTCACCCCAAACCGACCGATACCCCCACCCTGCCCCCACCATGCCTCCACCATGTTCGGCGCCCCCCCCGTGGAGCCTCTGTTCTTGAGACCCCCAACCCCATCATTTCTCGCCCAAAATCGAACGACACCCCCCACCATACCCAGGCCTCCCCCCCCCGTGGAGCTTCTGTTCTTGGGACCCCCCACCCCGCCATTTCTCGCCCAAAACCGACCGATACCCCCCACCATGCTCCCACCATGTTCCCACCATGCACCCACCATGCCCCCACCATGCCCCCACCATGCCCCGGCATCCCCCCCCCGTGGAGCTTCTGTTCTTTGGACCCCCCACCCCGCCAGTTCTCGCCCAAAACCGACCGATACCCCCACCCATGCCCCCCCCATGTTCGGCACCCCCCCGACCATGCCTAGGCCCTCCCCCCCGTGGAGCTCTGTTCTTTGGACCCTTCACCCCGCCGGTTTCTCGCCCAAAACCGACCTAACCCCCCGCCATGCCCCCGCCATGCCCCACATGCCCCGGCATCCCCCCCCTCGAGCTTCTGTTCTTGGGGCCCCCACCCCCCAGTTCTCGCCCAAAACCGACCGATGCCCCCCGCACATGCCCCCACCATGCCTCCACTCTTTTTCGCACCCCCCCGATGCCCAGGCCCCCCCCCCTGGAGCTCTGTTCTTGGACCCCCGCCCCCGCCATTTCTCGCCCAAACCATTCGATACCCCCCACCATGCTCCACCATGCCCCCCCATGCCCCAGCTTCCCCCCACCTAGAGCTTCTGTTCTTGGGACCCCCCACCCCGCCGTTCTCGCCCAAAACCGACCGATACCCCCGCCGCGCCCCCACCATGCCTCCACCATTTCGGCACCCCCCCCGACCATGCCCAGGCCCCCCCCCCGTGGAGCCTCTGTTCTTGGGCCCCCCACCCCCATGCCTCCCCCCGCCGTGCCCCCACCATGCCTCCACCATGTTCGGCACCCCCCCCGACCATGCTCAGGCCCACCCCCCCTGGAGCCTCTGTTCTTGGGACCCCCCACCCCGCCATTTCTCGCCCAAAACCAATCGATACCCCCCGCCATGCTCCCACCATGCCCCCACCATGCCCCAGCATTCCCCCCCCGTAGAGCTTCTGTTCTTGAGGCCCCCCCCACCCCGCCAGTTCTCGCCCAAAACCGACCGATACCCCCCACCATGCTCCCACCATGCCTCACATGGCTCCCCATGTTCCGGCCCGCCCCCCCCGACCATGCCTAGCCTCCCCCCCGTGGAGGCCTCTGTTCTTGGGACCCCTCACCCCCGCCAGTTCTCGCCCAAAAACTCGATTCGATACCCCCACCATGCCACCATGCCCCGGCATCCCCCCCTTGGAGCGTATGTTCTTGGGGCCCCCCCCCCGCCGTTCTCGCCCAACCGACCGATACCCCCACCGGCCCCCACCCCCCCATGCCTCCACCATGTTCGGCACCCCCCCCCGACCATGGCCAGGCCCACCCCCTGGAGGGCCTCCATTCTTGTGGGACCACCCTCACCCCGCCATTCTCGCTACCAAAAACCGACCGATACCCCCCACCATGCTCTGCCATGCCCCACCTCTGCCCCCCCGATAGCTTCTGTTCTTAGACCCGCCCCACCCCGCCATTTTCTCGCCCAAAACGCGACCGATAACCCCCCACCTAATGCTCCCACCATGCCTCCACCATGTTCGGCAAACCCCCCCCGACCTACCCATAGGCCTCCCCCCCGTGGAGCTCTGTTCTTGGGTATCCCCTACCCGCAAGTTCTCGCCCAAACCCACCGTACCCCCACCATGCCCCCCCATGCCCCCTCCCGTAGAAGGACATTCTGCTCTTGAGACCCCCCCCAACCCGCCAGTTTTTCTCTCTCCAAAAACCGACCGATACCCCACCCCCCAAACCATGCTCCCACCATGCCTCCACCATGCCCCCACCATGCCCCCACCATGCCTCCACCATGCACCCACCATGCCCCCATCATGCCCCCACCATGCCCCGGCATCCTCCCCCGGTGGAGCTTCTGTTCTTGGGACCCCCAACCCCATCATGTCTCGCCCAAAATCGAACGACACCCCCCACCATGCCCAGGCCCCTTCCAACCGTGGAGCCTCTATTCTTGGGACCTCCCACCCCACCAGTTCTCGCCCAAAACCGACCGATACCCCCCACCGTGCCCCCACCATGCCTCCACCATGCCCCGGCATGCACCCTCCACCATGCCCCCACCATGCCCGGGTATCCCCCCCCCGTGGAGCTTCTGTTCTTGGGACCCCCCCCGCCAGTTCTCGCCCAAAACCGACCGATACCCCCCACCCTGCCCCCACCATGCATCCACCATGCCCCCACCATGCCCCCACCATGCCCCGGCATCCCCCCCCCGTGGAGCTTCTGTTCTCGGGACCCCCCACCCCGCCATTTCTCGCCCACAACCGACCGATACCGCCCACCATGCCTCCACCATGCCCCCACCATACCCCGGCATCCCCCCCCGTGGAGCCTCTGTTCTTGGGACCCCCCACTCACCAGTTCTCGCCCAAAACCGTCCGATACCTCCCACCATGCCCCCACCATGCTCCAGCACCCCCCCCGTGGAGCCTCTGTTCTTGGGACCCTCCACCCCGCCCGTCCTCCTCAAAACCGACTGACACCTCAAATTTGGGGTCGGCGGCAGACGCGGTAGCCTTTAGATATAATGAGACGTTCCTCCCTCCTCCCTCCTCTGCCACCTCGACCTCCTCCTCCTCCCTCACCCTTCCCCCCAGTCGTGCAGGTCGGCGCTGCAGCGCACGTGAGGGGGGCAGGAGGAGCGGCAACAGCAGGAACATAATGCCGACAAAAACAGAATCCATCGGTCCAGCAGACCAGACTCCTATGTGGATTCCTATGCGGACGCCTATGCGGATCCCGATGCGCACGGCGGCAGTGCCCTTAGCGCACTGGGGGGGGTTAGCGTTACGTCATAGTCATAGGGGGAAGGGGGGGGGGGGCGGGGGCCATGACGCCCGTCATGCCCCAAGCAATAAGAAAACACTCTCTACTCGACTCTTGAAGTAGGAAGGCGCCTAAGGTAACCAGATTGGGATCTGGGGATCCAGAAACACCTACTTTCAACGACCAGAGAATACGTTCGGACCCAGGGAAGGGCCTGGGGAACGATTTTGAGCTGCCGTTGTCTCACCTCGCCCTCCTCCGAACAGAGAGAGGATCGCTCAGGAACGAGAAGCATTCAAGGAAGCACCGAAGGGAGCTTGCCATCGCTCGGACGTGCATTCTCCCTGCTTTGTGCGGTTTCGTACGTTTATGTTTCGCAGGATGATCCAGGATGCTCCTCGATGATGCCTTCCGACAAAAACAGAAACACTTCCGAGCGATGGCAAGAGAGAAAGAAGAGCGTTCAAGAGCGAGGAGCAGGCAAGGGAGCGTTCAAGAGAGTCGCCACCTCCTCCTCCAGGAGACGGGGACCCCTTGGACCCCCTGAGCCCCCCAAAGGGACCCCCAACGACGCCGCAGAAGCGTCCCAGACCCCCTCGATCCTCGATCCTCGCCCCACAAGCGTCCCAGGTCTCCTCTATCATGGATCCTCCCTCCTCGCCCTCGAGCCTCGACTTCCAGGATCGGCGGCGCGCACAAGGGGGCAACGGGAGGGGGACTGCTTCTTCGAAGGAGGCTGCTTCTGAGTAGGCGCCGGTCTTGCATCTGCAGATCAGGCCCGCGCCTCCTGAGAAGCAGGGGGGTGCTTCTGAGACGCCTCCCCCTCTCCCTTTTACTCATCTCTGCGCGTCGCCGCATCCTCCCTCCTCGTCCTCGATGCAGGATCGAGGACGAGGAGGCAGGATTCGCAAGGACGAGAGGAGGAGGAGGAGGAGGAGGAGGAGGAGGAGGAGGAGGAGGAGGGATGACGAGATTCGTCCTCGTCCTCGATCCAGGATCGAAGACGAGTTCGAGGATCGACGATCCTCGAACTCCAGGAGGTGGTGACCCCCCCCCTCAGTGGTGGCCCCCCTCGGCGCTGCGCGCCGACCCGGGTCGGTGCTGGTCTGGGCCGGGCCAAGGCCACGTCGCGAGCAGAGCACGGCCACACACGGCCATCGTGCTGCCGTGCGGAACGCCCAGGGAGGAGACGACCCTTGACATAGCGACGTCCTGAGTGCTTCAAGACGCGGCCCCCGAAGCCCCGACCCCTTGCCCCAGGGGCCGAGGCGAGGCGACGCGAGCGCGCGATGTCGGTCTGGCGGGGCCGGCCCTACGAGGGCGGCGGTGGGAAGCCAAGGCCCCGGGGAGACGCGTTGGAGTCGCTGCCGTCGTCCGTCCGAGTGTCGTTCCAAACTGTCTGACCGCAGAGGAGGCCGGCCCAGACCCGAGGAACGGCCTGAAAACCAGAGGCCGCGCCTAAGCCCAGGGTGGTCCTGATTCCAGCATCCTGGCTGTAGCAGCGGCCGCCCCTGCGACGGTAAAGGAGCGCGGGGAAGCATCGGCTCCACGCTGCTCCAAACACGGGTCCAGCCAGAAGGGAATCAGAGAGAACTGGCTGACCCCCTGCAGATCTGTCTCCCGTTACCTTCGCCCCTGCGCCCCGTCCCCATGTCTTGCCCGCCCGCCAAGGCACCGAAGAAAACGGATATACGATGCCCAACAGCAGATGGTGGCGCGGCCGCTGTTGGGCAGGCGACCGTCCGACCCAACTCGGCAGCGCCCACGGCGGCACATTCCGCGAGCCCTGCTAAACCTGGCAGGAGCGCGCCCCCATTCGTCGTGGACCCACGTCGACCGGGCCAACCTTTTGCTCGCCTCCTCCGAGCGTGCAGGAGAGCCACTCGAGACCACGGCGGCTCTCCGGCCTGACCCGCATCGGGCCCAGAAGCTGTCTCCAGACCCCGCCCTTGAGCAGGGCGACCTGTCTCCGGCGCTCCCATCGGCCTACCACGAAATGCTCTCAGTCGGTGGCTACGCGTAGCCACACACTTAGATCAAAAAAGACATAACCAGACGATGCTCAACGAGGGGCTACCGCAAGGCGGGCATAGCCAAGAATGCTCTAAGACCATTCCGCGCAAAACACAAAATGCTCTTAGAACGTTTCTTGGTGGGCCTATAGGCAAGCCGAGACGCCTGCTTGACCAAACACCTCCAGGAATCCATCCCGGCGACGAGAAGCGAAGGCCCACGAAAGGACAAAGAGCACAGGGAATAATCGCTGCTGGCTCGGCCAGCCCTCCTCCCCATCCCGGTGGCTTGGCGGCTTGCACTACCAGCGCCCCTCCCCCTCCTCCTCCTCTTCCTCCTCCTCCTCCTCGATGTTCCTCCCCCTCGATCCCCCATCCCCTCCTCCTTCTCCGCCTCCTCGATCCCTCTCCTCCTCTTTCTCGCCGTCCTCCTCCTCCTCCTCCTCCTCCTCGATCCTCGATGCCCTTTCCCCGTGCTCCTCGATCCTCTTCGATCCTGCTAGACTGGCGCCCGACGGCATGCCTGCTGCGAGATCACTGCGATGCCCGCCGAGAGGACCTCTCGAGCGGGTCGGCGCGCGCTCGCCGCCGCGGGCGAAGGGGTGCCCTCCTCGCTCTCCTCCTCCTGCTCCTCCTCCTGCTCCTCCTGCTCCTCCTCCTCCTCCTCCTCCTCCTCCTCCTCCTCTCGCCTCCTCCTCCTCCTCCTCCTCCTCCTCCTCCTCCTCCTCCTCCTCCTCCTCCTGTCACGAACATCACCGGTGCCAACTACTTGGAAGCAGCTCGGGAGCTCAAGGCCACGAAGCAAAGTCACTTTCGGGCAAGCCGTGGAAACCACAGTCCCAAGCCTTCGTGACCAAATACCGCAGATCAATAACAGGACAAACAAGTGGAATTTATCGATGAAAAAACGCACCTACTACCGTCCTGGCAAAATCATACACCGACCTACATAACAATATCATCAGCTCCAAGACGGAGATCCAACAACTAGAGGCCCAACTCGCAAACCTGGTTCAACTAGTCGCGGCTACGGTACCGAAGCCAGCCAGTGCGCCTGCGTCATACCCGTCTCTCAGCCAACTCATCAGTCAACTTTCAGCAGAGGCCCAACTCGCAAATCTGGTTCAACTTTCCAGCTCACGTCCAGCAGCAGGTCGCCACGCTCGAGACCAGCATCAGCCTTGCGATCCAGAATCTACGTGCTATAGAGGCAGCAAGCACCCAGCCTGGCGCGCAGCAGCCAGCGAAGGCGGCTGCAGGAGCTCCAGGGCCACAGGTGGCAGCGGGCCCTGTGCGTTGCCCCTGGGCAGCCTGGGGCCCCCAAGCTCCGGAGCTCGAGCTCTTGCTCAGTTGTTCTGTTGGTCACTCTCTTGTTGTTTATCAGATTTCCCTCTCTCCCTCTTTCTCTCCCTCTTTCCCTCCCTCCCTCCATCTCTCTCCTTCTTCCTCTCCATCTCTTGCTGTCTCCATGTCTCTCTCTCTCTCTCTCTCTCCCTCCCTCCCTCCCTCCCTTCCTCCGTCTGTCTGTCTGTGTATGTTTGCGTTTCTAAGCCTCTGCCTGTATGTGTCAGAACTTGTATTTATCTGTATGTCTGCGTTTGTGTCTGTCTGTCTCCGGTTTCGTTTCTGTCTGGGACTCGTGTCCCCTCTCTGTGCCCATCTCTCGCTTTCTCTCTCTCTCTTTCTGCCTCTCTCTCTGTGTTCTGCCTCTGTTAGCCTCTCCTATTTTGTTTTGTTCTCTCTCTCTCTCTCTCTATATATATATATATATATATATCCCACGCACTCCCTTTCATTATCATTCGCATTAAAGCTCTAACTCCCTCGCACATGCTTAATCATCACATGGTGGTGGTGGGCGATTAAAGACATGAGTTGTGGGAAATGATACATTGCGCGGGCTCCATGGCCCACATATTAGCGAGCCAGGCAGCTCGGCCCACGGACGGCGGACAATTCTGGTTGGCCCCGCCAGGGGATGACGAAAGGATGACACTTCGGAGCGGCGGGGGTGGCGATTCGGACTGGTCAACGGCACTCGCTGCCCCCTGGCGTGGGCGGGGCCGACGGCCGACGGGCGACGACGACAACGACGACGACGGCGAAGTGCGGATGGCACAGGGGCGGGGTGCTGCGTGGGCGTCCTGCAGTCCCGAGCGGCGAAGCACGACGGGGGACGACCGGACGACGGTGGAGTGCAGATGGCATATTTGGGGGTGAAGCTGCGTAGGCGTCCTGCAACCTGGGGGCGACGATGACGACGACCACCACCACGACAACGATGACGACGGAAGAAAAGGCGGACTGCGGATGGCATATGGGGGGGGGGCTGCGTGGGTTTTTTATGCATGAAGGGACCGCACCGAACCGAGAACCGGGAACCGTGACCGAACCGGTCCAAAACCAGGAACGTAGAAAACCGAACCGGACCGAACCGAATTCATTCAGAACCGAACCGGCGAGGACCGAACCGAACCAGAACCGGAACCGAACCGGAACCGGGCGGCCCCTGAACCGAACCGACGGGAACCGAACCGAACCCCTTTCCCCTCTGGTCCGGACCCCAGGACCCCGATGACCCCCAGGACTCCGGGACCCCGATGACCCCAGAACCTCCCGAAGATTCCCGCGACCCCTCCTCCTCTTCTTTCTCCTCCTCCTCCTCCTCCTCCTCCTCCTCCTTCTCCGCCTCCTCCGCTTCCTCCTCCTCCTCGACGGCGGCGGCGTCGGCGGGCGCGGGCGTCGGCAAGCGTCCGTCGTCGTCGTCGTCGTCGCCGTCGTCGTCGGGGGGCCGCGGGGGAGCCCCGGGGGGGCCCCTGGCGACCCTCCTGGCAGCCCCCCTGGCGACCCCCCTGGCGACCCGCGACGGCGACGGCGACGGCGGCGGCGACGGCGGCGGCGGCGGCGGCGGCGGCGACAGCGACAGCGACTTCGACCCCCCTCGCGGGTGCGAGCCCCCTGGCGGGCGCGACCCCCCTGGCGGGCGCGACCCCCATGGCGGTGCAACCCCCCTGGCGGGCGCAACCCCCCTGGCGGGTGCAACCCCCCTGGCGGGTGCAACCCACCCTGGCGGGCGCAACCCCCCTGGCGGGTGCAACCCCCCTGGCGGGTGCAACCCCCCTGGCGGGTGCAACCCGCCCTCCCCCCTGGCGGGTGCACTGGCGGGTGCAACCCCCTCGCGGGTGCGAGCCCCCTGGCGGGCGCGACCCCCCTGGCGGGCGCGACCCCCATGCGGGTGCAACCCCCCTGGCGGGCGCAACCCCCCTGGCGGGTGCAACCCCCCTGGCGGGTGCAACCCCCTGGCGGGCGCAACCCCCCTGGCGGGTGCAACCCCCCTGGCGGGTGCAACCCCCCTGGCGGGTGCAACCCCCCTGGCGGGTGCAACCCCCCTGGCGGGTGCAACCCCCCTGGCGGGTGCAACCCCCCTGGCGGGTGCAACCCCCCTGGCGGGTGCAACCCCCCTGGCGGGCGCAACCCCCCTGGCGGGTGCGACCCCCCTGGCGGGCGCAACCCCCCTGGCGGGTACAACCCCCCTCGCGGGTGCAACCCCCCTGGCAGGTGCAACCCCCCTGGCGGGTGCAACCCCCCTGGCGGGCGCAACCCCCTGGCGGGTGCAACCCCCCTGGCGGGTGCAACCCCCCCTGGCGGGTGCAACCCCATGGGGTTTGCACCCCCCTGGCGGTGCGCAAACCCCTGGGGGTGGCAACCCCCCTGGCGGGTGCAACCCCCCAACCCCCCTGGCGGGTGCAACCCCCCTGGCGGGTGCAACCCCCCTGGCGGGTGCAACCCCCTGGCGGGCGCAACCCCCATGGCGGGTGCAACCCCCCTGGCGGGTGCAACCCCCCTGGCTGCAACCCCCCTGGCGGGCGCAACCCCCCTGGCGGGTGCAACCCCCCTGGCGGGCGCAACCCCCTGGCGGGTGCAACCCCCCTGGCGGGTGCAACCCCCTTGCGGGCGCAACCCCCCTGGCGGGTGCAACCCCCCTGGCGGGTGCAACCCCCCTGGCGGGTGCAACCCCCCTGACCCCCCTGGCGGGTGCAACCCCCCTGGCGGGTGCAACCCCCCTGGCGGGTGCAACCCCCCTGGCGGGTGCAACCCCCCTGGCGGGTGCAACCCCCCTGGCGGGTGCAACCCCCCTGGCGGGTGCAACCCCCCTGGCGGGCGCAACCCCCCTGGCGGGTGCAACCCCCCTGGCGGGTGCAACCCCCCTGGCGGGCGCAACCCCCCTGGCGGGTGCACCCCCCCTGGCGGGTGCAACCCCCCTGGCGGGTGCAACCCCCCTGGCGGGTGCAACCCCCCTGGCGGGTGCAACCCCCCTGGCGGGTGCAACCCCCTGGCTGGCGGGTGCCAACCCCCCTGGCGGGCGCAACCCCCCTGGCGGGTGCAACCCCCCTGGCGGGTGCAACCCACCTGGCGGGCGCAACCCCCCTGGCGGGTGCAACCCCCCTGGCGGGTGCAACCCCCCTGGCGGGTGCAACCCCCCTGGCGGGTGCAACCCCCCTGGCGGGCGCGACCCCCCTGGCGGGTGCAACCCCCCTGGCGGGTGCAACCCCCCTGGCGGGTGCAACCCCCCTGGCGGGTGCAACCCCCCTGGCGGGTGCAACCCCCCTGGCGGGCGCGACCCCCTTGGCGGGCGCAACCCCCTGGCGAACCCCCCTGCGCGGGTGCAACCCCCCTGGCGGGTGCAACCCCCCTGGCGGGTGCAACCCCCCTGGCGGGCGCAACCCCCCTGGCGGGCGCAACCCCCCTGGCGGGTGCAACCCCCCTGGCGGGCGCAACCCCCCTGGCGGGTGCAACCCCCCTGGCGGGTGCAACCCCCCTGGCGGGCGCAACCCCCCTGGCGGGCGCAACCCCCCTGGCGGGTGCAACCCCCCTGGCGGGTGCAACCCCCCTCGCGGGCGCGACCCCCCTCGGGGCTGCGACCCCCCTCGGGGCTGCGACCCCCCTCGGGGCTGCGACCCCCGTCGGGGCACGTCGCTGGAGGGCCTCGCGCCTCCACGCCTCCACGTTTCTCCTCCTGCTCCTCCTCCTCCTTCTCCTCCTCGTCGTCCTCCTCCTCCCTCCTCCGCCTCCGCCTCCGCCTCCGCCTCCTCCTCCTCCTCCTCCTCCTCCTCCTCCTCCTCCTCCTCCTCCTCCTTTTTCAAACTGGGTCGTCGCTTACGCAGACGGGGCGCCCAACGTCGCACCTGACCAGTCGGGCCGAACCGAACCGGAGCGGCCACTCGAACCGAACCGAACCGGTCGGACCCAACCGCGCGAAAACCGGAACCGAACCGAACCGGCGGCAGGCCCAAGCCGAACCGGCCGAAACCGGACCGATGCCAAACCGAACCGGCCAAGCAAAACCGACCCGGCTGCAGAACCGGACCGAACCGAACCGAGCCGATCCCTTCATGTTTATGGTCCTCGAGCGACGACAACGACAACGACGACGACGAGGACGACGGATTGCGGATGACATGCAGATGGCATATGCGGGGGGTGCTGCGTGGGCGTCTTGCAGCCCTGACGCGACGACAACGAAGAAGATGACGGCGGACTGCGGATGGCATGCGGCGGACTGCGGATGGCATGCGGGGGGGGAGGGGGGGGCTGCGTGGGGGTCTTGAAGAACCTGCGGCGGCGGCAGCAACGGCGACGGCGCCGACGACAACGACGACGATGACGACGACGAACGACCGACGAGCGAAGACGGACGACCGACCGACGACGGACGACCGACGACGGACGACCGACGACGGACGACGACGACGACGGACGACCGACGACCAACAACGACGACGACGACAGACGACCGACGACCGACACGGGACGGCGTCGACGACGACGGGATGACGACGGACGGGATGGCGACGGCCAACACGACGCCAACAAAGTCTGGCGCAAGGGGGACATTTACACACACACACATTCGCCCCCACCCCCATCCGCAATTGTTTCGTCTGCCCTGCTACATAAAACGAGTGCGATTCCCCAGGATGTTGTTTTCACCGTCCCGTCCTATCATAGTTTCATAGGGTGTTTACAGTATCTGTTTTCTCTTCTCAGTTCTCTATTACATCTCCCCTCGTTTCTCATGTGTCCTCTTTTCTTGTATTATTCTAGCATCTAGTATACCTTCTCTGTCCTTCCACTGACAGCAACTATACATAGTCGTTCACATGGTTTATCCCTTCTACAGATCTGTATGGATACTCTCGCTCTTATAGATACGTGAATATCTCGTTCTCTGTCTCTCTCTCGGTCTCATCTCCCTCTCTCTCTCTCTCTCTCCTTCATCCCTCTGCAAAACACACTATGGATACTACTGCCTTCTCTCCCCATGACCCTGTCCGGAAGATCTCTGGCCCCCTCCTCGTATTGTTTACACACAAGATAAGGACGAATCGCGTTAAAATCCGATAGCTGTCGGTGTTTCCAAATCGTGCTCACGCTGCAGCGTGGGCAACATTCTCGGACCGGCGCTTTGCTCCCGTCCAGAATGGCGCTCTCTCCCCAGCGAGGGCCACTTTTCTGGAACGGAATCGTCTATCATCGTTGTCGCACCTCTCATTTCCCCTCCCATGCGTTCCCATGGTCCTCCTGCTCCTCCCGCTCCTTCCACTCCAATTCCTTCTGCTGCTTTCCGTCCTCGTCCTCATCCTTCCTTATCCTCCCCCTTTTTCCTCCTGCTCGGCTAACTGCTCACCCGCCACCTCCTTCGACTCCTATGTACGCAGCTCCCCCTTTCAGATTGCGCATAACAGTATGGTTCTTTGTTAGAGTCCCAGGTTGGCTATGACACGCGTCCACGAATCGCAAGACATGGGAAGGGATAGAAAAGAGGGATGATATTCAGATATGGAGCGAATGCACCTAGCTGATCTCTGTCTCTCTCTCTCTTTCTCTCTGTCTCTCTCTCTCTCTCTCTCTCTCTCTTCTCTGATGATTGATGATCTCTCTCTCTCTCTCTTTTTCTCTTCTGTCTCTTATATCGTCTCTTATTTCCTATTTCCAAAGAATGGGGTTATTGTTATTATCTGACCGCGCTGGACCCCTCATCATCATCCCTTCGTTCCCTCCTTCCGCCCTCTTTGCACTAGACGATGATGATGAGTGTCATGATGATGACCATGGTACTGTGAGAGTATGATGTGAGTATGATGGCGATGATGAGTGATGGATGAGTATGATGATGCTGATGATGATGCTGCTGCTGCTGCTGATGATGATGATGATGATGGTGATGATGATGATGATGATGATGATGATGATGATGATGACGATGAGCAGATGATTAGGATGTCTCGAGCGGCTTGCTGGTTTTAGCACTCCTAAGGGGAGGCGCCAGGGGGTATCTCGCGGCCTCCGTTCGCGCCAAAATGGCGAGACGTCTCGAGCGGTTTGCCTGTTTTGGTCGCGAACATCTTTCGTTGTCGGAGCAGATGTTGAGGATGTCTCGTGCAAGGCGCCGCCTAAGGGGGGGCCGCCAAGGGTATCTCACGACCTCCGTTCGCGCCCAGATTGCGGAGATGTCTCAGGCGGTTTGCCTGTTTTGGTCGCGAACATCCTTCGCTTTCGGAGCAGATTTGGAGGATGTCTCGAGCGAGGCGCTCAGTGTCGCCCCCCAAGGGGGCCAGATTTTGAGGATGGCTCGACCGGTTTGCCCGTTTTGGTGACCACACTCGTGGGCACATATTCTCACCAGGATGCCACAGGAGGCTCCAGCAGGCTCCCGGAGGCCCCAGGAGGCCACATGAGGTCCCAGGAGGCATCAGGATGCCACAGGAAGACTCAAGAGGCCACAGGATGTCCCAAGAGGCCCCAGGAGGCCCTAAGAAGCTCCAGGAGGCCTCAGGAGGCCCCGAGAGGCCCCAGGAGCAGGAGGCCTCAGAAGGCAACAGGAGTGGCTCCAATCCCATGTGTTTTACGTCTGCTCCTATAGATTGGGCCTCACCTGGAGCACGCATCCTTGATGTTATACGTATATTCTCCTTTCTAAAAACAAAATAGACTCTATCCCCCCCAGCATAATCGCCACCCCTTTCGGGTATGTAAATCACATATGATTCTGACCACATGTCCATCCTAAATATGAAATCACAATGTCCCAGGCCCACCGGTATCCCCCCCTGAGGTTCCCTTGCGCCAGAAAAACACACTATGCGGTGACATCTTCTGTTCTAACATAACACTTTTTCACGAATCCCTGGCAACAAATGAGACGAAGTGCACACGCGCGCGTCGTCGCGCGGGCATGCCGAAAACCTTCAAAAACCTTCGGTCTCTGAAGGATTTCGCAATCGAGTTTCCAAAAAACATACAAAAACACAGGGTTTCGCAACACTGTTTTGCTAAAACAGCTTACGCGCGAGCTGTTGCGAAATCTTAAGGAAACCGTCAGTTTTTCAAGATTTTCACAACATGCTACCAAACGGGCTTCGCGCGCGCGCATGTCGAAATCTGTCGAACGCCCTTGCGCGTGTGCCATCGCGAGAATCCTCTGCAAAAAATGGGGCGAAGTGCAGACGCGCGCGTCGTCGCGCGCGTACGCCGAAATCCTTCAAAACCCATCGGTTTCGGAAGAATTTCAAAATCGCGCGTCCAAAAAACATAAAAAAACAAGGTTTCGCAACACGGATGTTCAACAAAAGCGTGCGCGCGCTGTTGCGTCGTCGTCGTCGTCTTCGTCGCAGTCCTCCCTCCTCCCGCGTCGTCGTCGTCGTCGCGTACGTCGTCCTCTGTCCTTCCTCGTGTTCGTCGTCGTCCTCTTTGGCGTCGTGGTCGTTTCCGTCGTCGTTGTCGCTGTGATCGTCCTTCCTCCTCCTCCTCCCTCGTCGTCGTCGTCCGTCGTCGGCGTCTCGTCGTCGTCCCTCCTATTTCGTCGTCGTCGTCGTCGTTGTCGTCGTCGTCGTCTTCCCTCCTCCCTCGTCGTTGTCGTCGTCGTCGTCGCCGTCCTTCCTCCTTCTTCGTCGTTCGCGTCGTCGCCGTCCTCCCTCCTCCCTCGTCGTTGTCGTCGTTGTCACCGTCGTTGTCCTCCCTCCTCCCTCGTCGTCGTCTTCGTTGGCGACTTCGTTGTCTTCGTCGTCGTCGTTGTCTTCGTCGTCGTCGTCGGCGTCGTCGTCGTCGGCGTCGTAGTCGTCGTCGTCATCGTCGTCGTCGGCGTCGTCGTCGTCGGTGTCGTCGTCGTCGTTGTCGTCGTCGAAGTCGTTGGAGACGTCGGTGTTCGTCGTCGTTGTCGCTATCGTCGTCGGCGTCGTGGCCAAGTGCCATGTGGTACCTACCGTCACGGTCTTGTCTTAACAGGTCTCGCGACCAAGTTGCGGGTGGGAGGGTGGGATGTTTGCACGAGCAGTGCAGAGGACAGCTTCAAGACGGTCAACGTGGATTTCTATACATAGATTGTCCGTCTCCTGCGAAAACAATCCTAACTGTTTGAATTACGTATGTTCCGATAGATTGGGCCTCCCCTAGGGCACCAATCCTTGGTGTTTTACGTGCGTTCCTAGGATTACCTTCTCCTGCGGCTCCGATCCGCAATTTTTTATGTACGTTTGTTCCTACATATTGGGCGTCTCTTGGGGCACGATTCCTCCCTAGGAGGTCCCAGGAGGCTCCAGGAGTCCCCAGGAGGCTACGCGAGGCTCCAGGAGGCCTCAGGATGTCACTCGAAGCCCCAAGAGGCCCCAGGAGGCCCCAAGAGGCTCCTTGAGGCCCCGGGAAGCCCCAGGAGGTTTCAGGAGGCACCAGGAGGCACCAGGAGGCCCCAGGTTCATGCGCTGAGACGCGCTCGTACTACTCCTGAGGCTCACTCACACTCCAATTCATTGGCGGTTAGATTCATGACCAGACCCTCATAACTCAAGCCCGCTTATATTCGAAAACTCTCGCCCCTAGACACTCACGGCGGACAGCTCCATGCGAAGAGATGCACATACGGGGAGCTCCACGCAGTGAAAAATTATTTCCTCTCTGTCTCCCTGCCTCCCTCCCTCTGGAAAAGGCCCTCCGCCGATCTCTCCCTGCGCCCGGGGCCCCCAGAGGGGGCGGCTGCCAGCACGAAGCACACCGCCGCGCCGATGATCAGATGCAGGTGCTGCCGCGCCTCCTGCGCCCCGCTCGCCACGAGGAGCAAGCACGCCACGCACCTCGCGGGTGCAGCAGGGGGCGGGGCTGAAACAGAAGCCGAGCCGGCGTCAGCCGACTCCGACACCTATATACACAGTGGGGGTGAATCCACAAGAAATCTTCGACACGAAACCCACCCCGGATCCCAGGACGTCCATTGAGTTTCGGTGTGGGAGCGTGACACTGTCCATAGCAAAATCATGGAAACCCAAGGAACCCAGGGCACCCTGGTGGCAAGCAAGGGATTTCTTGGCATGGGTCTCCACTATAACCCGCCCCCCCCGTTTTGTATAACGTTCGGCGGACTTGGATGGCCAAGATCGTGGCGTTTGAATGGAAACAACAACGTGAGCGTATAAACAGGAGTAGGCCATTTGGCCACAGATTTTGCTGCAAGGACCTCGGCACGCAGCGGCGACAAGAATGGCAGCGAGGCAAGGAAAAGTAGGGCAGCCCACAAGGACGTGAACTGTGCGTGCCGAGGTCCGCGAGGAGGGGGACGGACCGATGGAGACGATGAAGGCTGCCGCCCCCGCCCTCCTCTGCCTCCTCGCCGTCCTGCCGCACACCACCGATGCTCGACCTCTGCTCAAGCCCAACCCTCGCCTCCACCGCTGGAGGAGCCAACAAAACACACATATGGAACGACCACAAACTTCCGGAGGGCCGCGCGGACTTCCCGGGTCGGCGCAGGACTCCCCCTCCCAGCCGCGCGGAGCCCGTCGGCGGCGGCACTGGAGCCGCCGCCAGGAGAGGTCAGCGTCGACCCCAAAACATACGCGCGGACGTCCGCAAATCCCACCCGCCCTTGAGGGCGTAGGTGGTTTGGGGTGTTTCCTCCTCCATCCCCTTCCTCCCCGTCGGGAAGGGGTTTACTCCTCCCCTGCCCCCTCCCCTGGACTTGGACGGGGCGTTCCGGGAGCGGTCGGGGCGTCCAACACGGCCTCGGCGGGTAAACCCAAATCATTGGTTTTACTACGGTTTTGGCCGCATTTTGGCCTCTTGGGGGGGCATCGCTAATCAAGGAAACCCCCTTCTTTGATCGATCTCCTCCGAAATGGCCCCACGAGCGCTCCCAAGGGTGCCCCAAGAGGGCCCCAAGAGGTGGCCAGGAGGCCCAAAGAGGCCCCCAAGAGGCCCCAAGGATTCCACCAAGAGGCTCCCAAGAGACCCCCTAGAGGCCCCCCCGGAGGCACCCAAGACGCTCCAAGAGGCCTCGGCGAGAATGCCACAATCATTGATTTGATTAAAGTTTTGGCCACACGTTGGCCTCCTGGGGGGGCACTGCTTAAGATGACTCCAGGAGCGCCTGGGAGAGCCGAGGACGACATCCAAGATGGCTCAAGATATCCCAAGATGCCTCAAGATGGCTCCCACGACGCTCCAAGAGGCCCCAAGACCGCTCCAAGACGGCTCCGAGTGGCCAAAGAGCTCCCCCAGGAGGCCCCGAAGAGGTCAAAATCCTTCCAAAACCTTGGGACAATCAATGCTTTTGGCTTTTTCGCACTTTCGCTTCCGATGGCCATCCGAGGCCCCGAGATTGCTCTGAGAGCGTCCCCATGGCTCCCAAGAGCGCTTCAAGAGGGCTTCGAGAGGCGCCTGGGAGGCCCCAGGAGACCCCAACAGGCGCCCAAGCGGCCTCCAAGAGGCTCCCAAGGAGGCCCCGAGAAACTCCCCGAAACACCCGAGACGATCAAAGATGCGCCCGGGACCGCCAGGAGGCCCAAAAAACTCTCCAAGATGCCTCCCTTCCTCCGTGTGCTGCCCACTTCCCTGATCGAGGCAATTCCTCTCGGCATCGTTTCTGGATGGGCTGGTGGGGTTACTTTTGGTCAACAGGCTCGCGAGGCGAGCCGAAAGCCGTCCGAACACTAGTCGGGCCGCGACCGGGCAGCAGGAAAAGAAAAGGCAAACGAAGCGAGCGAGCGGGCAGCCACTCAGAAGGAGAGCCAAAACCGATATTCGCAAACTCTCGGGGATCTTCTGACCCGGGTCAATCCAGACCCGGGTCAGCAGGAAACCAAAAACTGCAATGCAGGAGAAAAAACTGCAACGCAGGTCCTCGCAAACCCGGGTCAGCCAATACGCGCGGCCGCCTCGCGGCCACGAGCGGCTCCCTAACCCGGGTCAGCCAGAGGGGGCCTTCGCAGGATCCTGCAGGATCTGGCGCCCTGGCTGACCCCCGTCTGCACTGACCCCCGTCTCGAGGTTCCCGAAACTCTGTGGCGTTGGAAATCCCGGTGGCGACCAGCAAGGAAGCGCAGCCAAAATGGCGCGGCGGCGCGACCATCAACACGCAGAGGTCGATCGCTCGGTATGGGTCAGACAAACTGCACCGCCAGAGACGAACTAGACCGACAGGCACACCCAAACGACATCCGTGACGTAGGCGACACAAATGCCAAAACATCGCGTCGGCGCGAGAGTGGCTGCCGCAGGCGAGAGCGCCAGCGGCGAGTCGAGTCAGAGCGGGCCGCGCAAAGACGAATTAACCTAAAGCGGTGGGCCGGAACCTCACGCGGCCCCTCGGCGGGCGGGCCGGCGAGTGGAGGGGGGCTGGCGGCGGCTGCCAGGGTGGCTGCACTGCCAGGGGTGCACGCATGCAACGAACTGCAGGGGGGGGGCTGACTGCCACGGTGGCCGGCTGCCAGGGTCTGCAAGCTGCGAGTGAATTGTATGCAGAGGCGTTACCACCCACGGGACTGCAAGAGTACCAGGGTGGCCAGAGCCAGGTGGACCGACCGCCACGAAAAAATTGGATGCGAGTGAACTGGGCAGCAGAAGCTGCGGCGCGGCCAAAATGGCGCGTGGGGGCACCGCGATGTGACCAGGGTGGGCACCACAGAGTGACCCAAGAAGCCTGCCAAGGCCTGGCAGGTGCGAGTGGCGGCGCCAGCAACGTCGCACACCCGAGCCCCGGACAGAGGGGGGCGCAGTCTGCGGACGACACTCCAGGGATGGCGACAGACGCGAACGGACGGCGGGAGGGTGTACACCGACACTGCAGCCGAATCGCGGACGCAGCGTGATGAACCACGAGGGTGCCTAGGCTGACCACAGGCGCCCGTAGCCTCAACCGAGAGGGAAACGAAACCGCGATTTTCGCGGGATGGAGAGGCCGGGGCTGGTGGGAAATAACTCCACCGAGCCGGCGTGGGAACCGGGAGCCCAGCCGCGGGGGGGCCACCCCGGCACGGGAGGGCGCCCAGGGGCGCGGGGGAGAGACGCGCCAGCCGACCTGAGACGGCTGGGGTGTGGACGCCGACGCTGCAGCCGAAACCGCGGACGCAGCGTGGTGGAGCCACGGGGGAGGCCTAGGCTGAACCACAGGCGCCCGTGGCCCCCACCTTCGGGGGAGACGAAACCGCGATTTGCGCGGGATGGAGGCCGGGGCGGTGGGAGAAGGCTCCACCGACCCAGGTAGTGGAACCGGGAGCCCAGCCGCGGGGGGGCCACCCCGGCACGGGAGGGCACCCGGGAGACGGCTGGTGTGGTTATGCGAAGCGTCAAGAATCCCACCAGCACTTTAGGGCGTAGGTGGTTTAGGATGGTTCCTCTTCCACCCCTTTCTTCGCTTTCGGGGATTGTTTACCCCTCCCCCTGCCCCTTCCCTGGACCTGGACGGGGCGTTCCGCGAGCGGTCGGGGCGTCCAAAACGGCCTCGGCGAGTAAACCCCAATCGTTGATTTTAGCCTGGTTTTGGCCCCATTTTGGGTTCTCTGGGGGGCAACGCAAATTAAGAACCCCCACTTCTGTGATCGATCTCCTCCGAGATGGCCCCACGAGCGCTCCCATGGCTCCCAAGGGTGCCCCGAGAGGGCCCCAAGACAAGAGGCTCCCAAGAGACCCCCAACAGCCCAAGACGCCCCCCAGAGGCACCCAAGACGCTCCAAGAAGCCTCGGCGAAAATGCCAAAATCATTGATTTGATTAAGGTTTTGGCGACACGTTGGCCTCCTGGGAGGGGCGCGCTGCTTAAGATGACTCCAGGAGCGCCTGGGGAGACTAAGACGACCTCCAAGGTGGCTCAAGATATCCCAAGATGCCTCAATATGGCTCCCACGACGCTCCAAGAGGCCCCAAGACCGTTCCAAGACGGCTCCAAGTAGCCAGAGAGCCCCCCCAGGAGGCCCCGAAGAGGCCAAAATCCTTCCAAAACCTTATTAGGACAATATGTGTTTTTGCATTTTTTTCGCCTTTTCGCTTCCGATGGCCATCCGAGGTCCCAAGATGGTTCCAAAAGCGTTCCCATGGCTCCCAAGAGCGCTTCAAAAAACGCCCCAAAAGGCGCCCAGGAGGCCCCAACAGGCGCCCAAGAGGCCTCCAAGGGGTTCCCAAGTGACCCCCAAAAGGCCCCAAGAGACTCTCCGAAACACCCAAGACGCTGTAAGAGGCGCCCGGGACCGCCAGGAGGCCCCAAAGACGTGCCAAGAGGCCTCCACAAGGGGGACCCCTATTCTGTGTGATGCCAACTTCCCTGATCGAAGCAATTCCTCTGGGCATCGTTTCTGGATGGGCTGGCGGGGCTACTTTTTGGTCGCAGTTGCAGGCGATCGCGCCACGGTCGAGTCGCACGGGCCGCAGGCGCCCTAATTGCCGGCACTGGTGGGGCCACTTTTTTGGTCGCGGCCGCAGGCAAGAGTGCAAGCGGCGAGTCGTAAGTCCGGGGCGCGGGCCTACTAATTGACAACAGGAGCAAGGTAGAGCCGCGCACCTTAGCTGCCTAAGCTGCCTAAGCGGCGCCTCGAGTAAGCTGCAAACTGCACTGAGTGTGGATGCCAGGGCCAGGGGCACAAAACGCACACACACACACACCGTCCATGCAAGGCGGTGGCTGCCAGGGTGACTGCACTGCCAGGGGTGCACGCATGCAACGAGCTGCACGGGGTGGCGGACTGCTAGGGTGGCCGGCGGCCAGGGTCTGCAAGATGCGAAGTGAAACTGGTGGGGTTACGCGAAACGTCAAGAATTTATGTTTTTGTTTGTCATTCTTCTTCGAACTACACCTCCGCCAATACCTCCTCTGTAAAGGCCCGACATGTGTGCGAAACAAGTGCGCGCGATGCTTAACAGCAAGCGTTGCCGCCCCCAAAAAGCGGCCGCTGTTGGGCAGGCGGCCCTCCTTCTTAAATGGACAGCGTCCGCGGCGACTCGGTCTTCGTGCCCAATATCTTCCACAGACAAGACAAGCGCAAACCGTCGGAGTTCCGTGCGGACTTTTTGGATCGGCGCCGGGCCCCGTGAACGGTGTTTCCGGCGCCGCTCCTGGCCTATTCCTGGCGCCTGGGAGGGGGGCGCAGCGCCGATCATGATGATGATGATGCTGATTTTGATGATGATGATGATGATGATGATGATGATGATGATGATGATGATGATGAAGATGATGACTATCGGCTTCTATTCTGTGTGCCAGAGGCTGTCTTTGCTGCAGGGGGCAAAGGCGCGGGTCCCGACGACCGACAGGCATGCGAGAGACATCGTGCAGCGGCAAACCAAATCGATATTACATGTAAGAACAGGGCGAGAGCAGGAGGGAGGTGCGGGAAACTTGAGCCGCAGTGGCTGCGGCACTCGACGTTCCAACGGTCAAAACACTCAGCATGCAGTTATACGATCAGCTTCCATTCTGCGTGCCAGGGGCTGTCTTCGCTGCGAGGGGCAAGGGCACGGGCCCCGACGAACGACGGGCATGCGGGGGGCATCCTGCGCCAGCCAAGCCACATTGATATTACATGTGCGGGCGTACTTGCAAACCCTGGCCGCCAGGCCGCGGGCCGCAGAAAACACTTGCGCGCGTTAGCGTTCGCAGGGCGAGGCGACTGACACAAACGCCCCTTAATTTTTTTTGCCGCCGAGACCATCCAGTCGGAACCCCGACGGGCGAAATCCCGAGGGAATCTTTGAACAAACACATCCACGGCGCGCCGCGCGGGCCCAAAGACGTTCAACAAACTTGAAACCGACAAGGGCCCGAAAACCTATGGATAGAGCCAGCGCAGGCGGGCCGAGCGCCCAGTGGGGACGACGAGACGGCCCAAAACCAAATCTTCGTAGGCCGAGGGTGCACACTACCATACTGGCACGCGCATATTCAATTCCGCCGCTTGCGTAGCATTGGACATCTCATACTTGGAAGAGGCCAGGCGTAGCGTAGGTAACGCGGCACAGGCCTCAGCAAGCCCAGGGACTCTTAAGCGATGGCAATCGAGGATCAATGAAGACAAGACGCCGCAGAGAGCCCGGGAGCGAGCAGAGGGGGCCCTGGCGCGGCCCAGGCGCCCAAAACAACCGACCCACGAAGCCGTCCCAAGATCCTCTGGCGCACCGCGGGTCGAGACCGATCGAAATCCACATGCAGGAAAGGTTCGATGCAGAGGGCGGCGAAACCTAGCGCGCGCATGCGCATCGCGATAGGGCGAGTAGACCTCCGCCCCAAATAAAGCACGGCGAGATCTGACTGAGGCGGCCTTCGTTACAATTTTCAATCGACGCGTCAGATAGCGGCCCGCCTGCCCGTCAACGCGGGTTCCGTCCGCCCACGCAATGTCAAGGGAGGCCGCCGCGGGATCTGTAGGTCAACGCGCCGCCGCGACTGACCGTCTCGAAAAGAGGTGCGAGGTGTCGGCCCACCTGAAATCTGAAAGACAGCGCCGCCTCTCCCCGCATGTTCAACTGTTGCTGCAGCTTGGTCTGCTTGGCATATCTGCGGAGAGAGCAGTCCGTGATCCACCTTCCTCCCGCGCGCATCGAGCAGGTCGTCGCTCGCCGCGCTGCGGCGGAGGGCGTGCAGCGGCGGCTGGGCGACCAGCACGAGGGCCTCGGCGGCGCCGTTGAAAGAACCCCGCGCCTCTGTCACCTGGAAGTCCCACAGAGGCGAGGCGCCGGGGCGAGCCGCCTTCAGCGCCGCCCACAGCGGCCGCCAGGCCGCATGATCCAGCGCGACGCTCTCGTCGGTGATCCCCGTCTTGCCTGGCACGTCGCCCTCCCCGGGGTTGAGCGCCAGACCCCGCTCGGCGTACTTCTCGCCGGCTAAAGGCTCGGGCGGCGCCGGCGGGCGCTCGCGCGGACGGATGGCCTCCGAGGGCCGCAGGTAGCCGGCGAAGAACAGGATCACGAACGTCGCGAACGGGATTTGGCGCCTCGCGAGCATCGCGCCCGCGATCGCCAACGCTGCGGGCCGAAGGATTGGAAGGCGCGCGCCGGGCGGCTTCAGTTTCTTCCAGCCGCCCATTGCCTTGCAGGTCCTCGGTGGAGCAATGCGGGTGGCAACCGGCGCAGGCGACAGACGGCGCGCCGCCGCCAACGTCGCGCGGCCCGTGGCCGCGTCGAAGCCGTCTAAGGCCTGGTGCGCCGCGTCGAGCTCCTGGGTCAAAGACCAGCGCAGCCCCGTCCACAGGCGCCAGTTCACCAGGCACTGCGCGTGGGCGGCGTAGTGCTTGGTAGCGTCGGTGAGCGCCGCCGTCTCGATGAAGCTGATCCAACTGCCCCTCAGCTGCGGCGCGGAGGTCTGGGGGGGGGGCTGCCTATGGCGCGTCAGAGTCATGACGCGCCGGGGCCGCGCTCGACGCGCGACCACCTGGCGCCCCGCCTGGGGTCGAGCCAACGCCCAGCCACTCGGGCCGCGCGAGGAAGCCGGTCCGCGACGGGGCGTCGGACGGGTTGAACTCCGATGGGGCCCGCCTCGCAAGCGCGCGGCCGCCCGATGCCAACGGCAAAAGCGCGAACCTCCTTTTGGACCGCGCGAGGTTGGGGGCCCTCCCGCGCCCTTTGCCCGCGCTGAGAGCTAGAGCCAAGTTGTCGACGAACAAGACCAGAGGGTGACCCAGAAGAGGCCCAGAGCGGAGAAGATGACGCAGTGCGAACTCAAGGCGCCCCCCTCAGACTCCAAGATATTCTGCGTCTTGAGCACGCGACTCGATTGCGCGACCTTCCACTGGAGGCCCTCCAACAACTGTTCGGGGATCTCGGAGAATGGGGAGGGGTCGCGCGCGACGGACAGGGGGCTCTCGAAGTCGGCGACAGCATCAGCGCTGAGAATGCCCCGCAGGCCTTCGTGACCCAAGAGGTTCTCGCCCAGGTCCCAGAGGGCGCCCTTCAGCACCGAGACGACCCGCATCAAGCCCAAGGCGATCGCCTCCTAGCGCGCGTTGACGGACAGCGATGGCATCATGAAGCTTATACGTAGCATCCCGCAGTTGCGGACAAGGATGAGGGGGCGGCGGGGGCGTTGGCGGTCTGCAGGGCTGTGAAGAAGCCGTCCGCAAGCGCCGATTTGTTTGCTGAAATAATGTAGGTGGGTCGCGGTTTTGGTCGCGGGTTGGGTCGCAAGTGGGTCGCGGATGGGTCGACGGCGGGTCGCGGATGGGCCGCGGGCGGGTCGAGGGTGGGTCGCGGGTGGGTCGCGGGTGGGTCGCGAGCGGGTCGCGGGGTGGATCGCGGGTGGGTTGCGGTTGGGTCGCGGGGTGTGTCGCGGGCGGGTCGCGAGGCGGGTCGCGGGTGGGTCGCGAACTGGGTCGCGGGGGGGGCGGCGACAACAACGGCGACAGAATCCTCGCCGCGGATCCGCGCTTCAGCCGCGCACCCGGGGACAATGAATGAACGTTCAGCCCCCTCGCTCTGACCGGCGCGGCGCCCGACGGCGGCGACTGCGTGCGCGGGCAGCTCGCGGCGGCAAACCCCGGCCCCATAACCCGAGGAGGCCGACGCGGCGACGTCGGAGGCCCGCGGGGGGCGCCGCGTGGAGGCCCGCAGCGGCGACGACGACTGAACCCAGCGGAGCTCCTTGAGGACCCCGCCCCGAGACTTCGCGGGATCGGCGGATCGCGATCGCGATCTCAAAATGGCAAAGGTGGCAGAAATCATCGACAGGATCTCCCGCCTGCACAACGTGGCCCAAGTGATGCGGCACGAGGGGAAATCTGACCGTGGCGAATCACAGAGCGGACGCCCAAAATGAGACGAGCGACGCGTGAACACGGTGCACTCGTGCTTCGTTTCCCGCCATCGTGCGGGCCTCTTGAAGCTCGGGCCACTTGAACCTCGCGCGCAGGCAACCGATGTGAGGCGATGGCCGCCGAGGTGCGCTGCAGCTTGGACTTCGCGCGCTCCTTCGCGCCGGCGAAGACGCAGCAGTGGCCCGGGTGGGCGGCCGCCGCCCGGAGCGTCGGGGACAGCGGCGCAAAAGGACGGGGCCCCGTCTACGATGAAAGCGATCGGCCACTGCGCCAGCGTTTCTCGCGATAATGTTGACCAGGACATCCCGGCAAAAATGGGGGGCCCAGTTCCAGCCCATCGGCGCCGCCAGAATCTCGGGGGCCAGATCCACGTCGAGCGCGACCCCGTCGCGGCGCAGAACCCGATTCGTGATGCACGGGGGCGCAAAGCGCTGAACTAACTCAGGCGGAAGCTTCATGCGATGAAACGCACGCTGTATACCTGCCGACGCCGTGAAGCCGATGGCGTCGGGGGCGCTCGTCGGCAACTTCGCGCTGGCTGGTTCGAAAGAGGACGCATTGGCAATGCGGGTGTCGAACTCCATCCTGAGCCCCCCCGCCCTTCTTGGCCGCGAAGATCACCCCGGCCGCGGGCTGCCCCCGAACTCGACGGACACGGGGCCGCAGCATCATGCCCGCCTCATCAAGTCGACGAGGCAAGCCGGCGCAACGGTCGGAGCATCTCGAGAGAAGAGGGTCGAGTGTGGTTTGACACGTCGGCGTCTAGCGACGGCGGTCGACTCGGGGACTGGCGCTCGTCCTCCATGACCCCAGCCTGTCAAGGGCGGCCTCGCTGCAGATGGATTTCAGCGGCGGCGGCGTCGCGCCCGCAACGGGCCAGGATGCGCGGTCCTTGGCGCAGGGCCGAACTGCGAGGGCGGCATCCGGGGTGGCGTTTCAAACTCGATGGCCGGCAGGCCAATCGAAGTGCTTGAACTATCGGCAATGTGATCAAGAGCGAACCTCTGAGGCCGGTTGCGTGCGTCAACGGGCGCCGCCACCTCGCGGGCAGATCGGGCCTGGCCGTTCATCTCATCGAGGGCTTCTATGCACTCGTTGGCCCAGGCCCGCCAGGCCAGACCACGATCGCAACGCTGTCGAACCTGCCGAGACCGGAGGGGCCCCGCCTGTCGTCAACGGCAAACCGAAGAAATTGGAAAAAAGGTTGCGTTGCCGATCACCAGGGGCCGCCGACGTCGCGAAGCTGCGCAGCTCGGGGCCGAGTGCACCTCGGCGGGCTCAAGGAAGAGCGGGCCGCCGCTGAGGCGAGGGAGGCCGATCGCCATTGGCGCCACGCCCGCTCCTCGCGGGCCTTTCTGCGCCCCTGGGCGACCGCAGCCTCCACCTTCAACTCGCCCGCAATCCGTGCGCTCAGCAGCGGGCGCGCGCGCGCTCACGCGGCGCTCCTGGGCGCCCAGGAACAGGCTGTTCTCGTCGCGGTCGACCAGCACGCGGGGCTTGTCCTTGTCCTTCTTGTCGCTGCCTTTCGGTTCGCAGGCCGTCTCCACCACTTTCTCCTCCAGCAGCTGGCGGCGCCTCGCCGTCGTCTCCAGGTGCGCCAGCTCACCGACGTTCACCTGGTCGTAGCGCGCCGCGGGCTCCAGGATCCTACAGGGCCAGGCGTGCTCCCTGGTGATCGGACCGTCCTCCGACATCTTCCACTCAGTCATCGACTTACTGTGCCAGGCTGCCGGAGACGAGGCGTGGCGCTGGGTGCGAACGCAGACCCAGGCCGCCGTCCGAGGGACTCGAACGGGCCAGTCGGTCCACGCCGTCGAGGTGTGCAGCGTGATGCCCTCGCGGAAATCCCGCCAGCGGTCGCCCCGCACGCCGTGGCTCACGGCCTTCACGCGCAGGCCAGCGACCCCACCAGCAGCAGCACCGCCACCAGCAGCAGCGCCAGCCCCAGCGGCGACGCCTGCGGCGCCCGCCGCAGCCGGCAGGGGCGGGGGGCCTGCAGGTGCGCCAGCCGCGGCCAAGGCGGGTGCCCCTCCAGGCGGAGGGCTCAAGGCGGCTGGCGGCGCCGCGGCAACAGCAGGAGCGGCCCCCGCCAAGGCGGCCACCGAGCGTGGAACAACTACTCCACCAGGCGCGGCCGCGGGCGGCAGCAGGCCAGCGGCGGGCGCGGGGGCTGCGGGCAGCGCCAAGGGCCCAGCAGCAGGCGCACCCGCCACCGCAAGGGCCCCAGGATCGGCCAGTGCGAACGGCCTAGGGGCGATACCTCCAGCGCTTCCAGCAACCAAGGTGAGGCTCGCCGGGCCAAGCGGCACGGCGACGCCAAACGCTGCGTCCCCTCGCGAATGCCGTTCCACACCTCCTGAGCCGTCGGCAGGGAGCGGAAGCCGTAGACCCGAAAACCGCCAGGGCGGTCGCCCTGGCCCTGCAGAAGCATCACCCCAGCGATATCTGAATCAGGCACCGCGCTCTCGAGGTAGCAGTCCCCGTCGGGTGTCAGCACGAAGTGATTGCCAGCACCATCTGCCAGCAACGAGACCCGCTCATGCCAGATCTGGGCTCCGCCGACCCGGTATCGCACAAACGACACGGTAAGCGCATGCGGCATGACTACCTGCTGTCAGCGAGCTTGTCGCGGATCGCCCTGGCCTGCACCCGCGCGGCCTCGTCGAAGCTCGGCTCGGGCTCGACAGCCTGGCCCACGACTGCGCTGCGATGGACCAACACGTACCCCAAGGCGGTGCCGAACGCAGCGCCCGCGAGGAGACTCGCGACCGAGTAGGCGCCCACGAGCCCGAAGCAGGAGGGCTCGGGCACCTGGATGCGCCCGCGCAGACGCACGCGGGGATGGCGGGGCAGGTCAAATGCGTTGCGCAGGCCCCGCAGCTGGGAGCCGCCGCGCGCGCCACCACGGAGGCTCCGAAGGCCTGAGCTCCGTATCGCAGAGTGCCGGAGAGGTATATGCCCAGAGCCTGCATGGAGCCGCACAAATTAAGCTTGAGCCGCAGGTGGTTGCGGCACTCGACAATCCAAAGATCAAAACACTCAGCATGCAGTTAGATGACGATGATCATGATCATGATCATGATCATGATCATGATGATGATGATGATGATGATGATGATGATGATGATGATGATGATGATGATGATGATGGAGGAGGAGGAGGAGGAGGACGAGGAGGAAGGTTCGTACTTGGCTTGCGTACGGAACTGGATGGGTATGGCGAGGTTTCGGCTGCGCCCGTGGGCGCCTCGTGGGCGCTCCGTGCTTCGAGGGTATGTCGAGGTTTCGCCTGACGCCCGCCCGAGGGCGCCTTCTGGGCGTCCCGAGCTGAGGGGGTCTGCCGAGGTTTCGCCTGGTGCCCACCCGTGGGCGCCGTATGGGTATCCCGATAGCTTGCACCAATCAGGTTGCACAACACAGCTTACACCACATGGTTTGCACCACATAACTTGCACGTAGCCTGCACCACGCAGCTTGCACCACATAGTCCACGCCGTGTAGCTTGCACCACGTAGATTGCACCGCATAGCTTGCACAACCTAACTTGCACAACATAGACTGCGCCAGCTAGCTTGTTCCACGTAGATTGCACACCATAGCTTGAACCACATAGGTTACACCACAAAGCTTGCTCCTCGTGGATTGTACCACACAGCCTACACCGCCTAGCCTGCACCACTTATTTTGTAACGCATCGCTTGCATCACATAGCTTACACAACATAGCAACATAGCTTGCATCACCTAGCTTGAACCACGGAGCTTTCACAACCAAGATGGCGCCTCGTACACTGCACCACGCAGCTTTCGCCACATAGCTTACATCACATGGTTGCACGCTGCCCAACTTGTACATGTATGCCGACTTGTTCTTATGCGACTGCGAGGGAGAGTGGGAACAGGAACAAGATGGCTAAGGATGGAATGACACGAGTCAGGGAGAGTTTGTGAATGGGCAGGCTGGGGACGGATGGACGCGAGACTGTAACATGCGCCTGTGTTGCCGTCTCTCCAACCCCTTTTTTCCTCCTCCGCATCCTCCTCCTTCTCCTGATGCCCCTGATCGTCTCCTGCCACCCCTTTCCCTTCCCCCTCCCACTTCCCCTCCACGTGCAATCCTGATGCAGTTCCCTCCCCTCACACCCCACCTCCCACCTGGCTGGGAGGAGGGTGCGGGAGGCGTGGGGAAGGGTGGAGGGAGGGGCTGAGGGAACGAGAGGAAGGGAGGTACCCCCCCTCTCTCCTCGCCATCCCCCTCCCTCCTCCCTCCTCCCTCCTCCCTCCTCCACATTCACCTCCTCCTCCTCCTCCTCCTCCCCCTCCTCCTCCCCCTCCTCCTCCTCCTCCTCCTCCCCCTCCTGCTCCTCCTCCTTCGAGGAAAACAGAGAAGAGACGCCTGCGATTTCTCGCGAGACCTCTCCCGGGGGCGCGTCCTGCCCAGGATCCCGAGGCGAACAGAGCTGAAGCGACGGGCAGCAGCATCGGCATCTCGTTATCCGCCTCGGGGGGACAGTTCGGGGGGTACCAGCTTGGGGGGTGGAAACATCGATCGGGAGCGGCCAAGAGGGGGGTGTCCAAGGGGGGGGGGGGCAAATCATGACCGGCGGCATGTGCGCGGCCCAGCGGGGGGGCCAGGGACGTAATGAAATAAGAAGGGGCGCCATCAAATCTGGGGAAATATCATGGCCCCCGCCATGATATCCACCCCCCCTAGTCATCACCACCATCTTTTCCGCCCCCGAATCGACCAGGAGTCGGCGATACGTTGCCGATGGATCTGCAATGGGCCCCCGAGCGCGAATCCACACGTCGGCGGGCGGAATCAGTATGGGGCCCCTACAGGCGACCTGACCCAATCATCTCGTCCCTCCTCGTGTTCCCCGCCCCTCACATTCATACATCCTCCTTGTCCCACCCCGAGGCCGGTCAAAAGAGCGGGCGAGACGTTTTGCATGACACTTCCTCACGATCTATGATCCAGAACCTCTGCAACATCTTCACAGATGGTGTGAAGATGGAGGGCAATTCGCATTCAAAATGTGGCTCCCGCATTTGCGCCGCGCACATTCGCCTTAAAAGCTTGCAACAAGTTCACGATGGAGGGCGGGCCGCTTTCAAAATGTGGCTTTCGCCTTAGCGCCCCGCACAATCGTCTTGAAAGTTGGCAGCCAATTCACACACTGTCTTTCAAAATGTGGCGCTCGCCTTAGCGCCACGCGCATTCGTCTTAAAGGGTGTCTAACGGTTTCATGGATTCGTATGGCTGACGTCCCGGAAATGATATGTTGGTACGGTGTCGCAGTGTCAGGGCGTAGCACTCATAATGATTCGCGGTGTTGGACTCCCAGAAATGGTGTCTGGCAGTGTTCAGAATCGCCAGAACGCCATAGTAGCAGTGCTTCGCGGCGTTGAAATCCCAGGAGTAATGTTCTGGCGTACTTCCGGATGTTCATCAAACGGTTGTCTTCCAACGGGGCATTTACGTTAGCGACAATGAACCAGTGTAGGGGCCTATGAAGAGGGAGCGTGGAAAGAGGGTTGATTGCAATATCGTGGATGAGTCTTGGGATTTCACCGGTCCCCTTCCTCCTCCTCCTCCTCCTCCTCCTCCTCCTCCTCCTCCTCCTCCTCCTCCTCTCCCCTTCGTCCGTCCTCCGCCCCTCCCTCTCTTTTCCGCCCCCGTCCTCAGCCCCTCCCTCCTCGTCCTCGCCTTCCTCCCCAGACATGCGATGTCTTACGTCATTGAATACAGGGTCCCTGGAAGTTCTTCCCCAAGGCCCCTTTTTCTCATCACAACTCATGTTCTGACGGCCACCAGAGGCCGAAAACTATCAACAACCGTCGGTCGCATTTTTGTTGCTTTCCACCACGCGAGCATGTCTCGGATATTCCCTCCTCCATGTTCATCGCCCCTCCCCCATGGACCAATTCCCTGGGACCTGGATTTCCTCCCGCGTCGTGCTCTGTCGGCCCCAACGCCCAGCGAGGACATCCGGAGGCCGAACACTGCCACAAAAACCTTCGGTCGCACTTTTTGTTCGCAACGCGAACATGCCTGGGGTCTGGACCCGACGTCGCTGTTTTTGTTCATGGCGTAGACTCCCATAGGTCTGAACCCGTTCCCCCGTACCGGTTTTCATCTAAAATCGTGTCCTCACGGTTGCGAAGCACGGTAATGGTCCCCGTACGCAAAACATCCGCCGACCCGCGTTCGCCGGGGTGAAAAGGCTTGATTTTGCTGTCCCCCTCCCTTTTCCCCCTCCCCTGGGGTCCAAAATGCCACTTCAAGAGGGGGGAAGGGGGGGGGGGGGGGCGAGGTCGTCAACGCGCCCCCAGGCATCTGGAGCCGCCAACACCTCCCAGGACAGCCCAACAGGGCCCAGACAGAGCGCCAGGACAGTCGAAGAAAGCGTCATGACGGCACAAAGGGGGGTAAGATGGCCAGCGAAGCCAACAAGACAGCACAAGCACGCCTCCAGAGTATCGCCGACAAGGGCCCCGCGAAGCCAACATCATCCTCTTACATGGGAGAAGCGTGCATATTCCGCACGTTCGCATCTTACCTTTTGACAGCAAGCGCGACGGCCCATGTGGCCCCCAAGATCGTGCCAATACGGCCCATGATACCTCCCCCCAAAACCAAAAACGGCTCAAAAGGGCCAAAAACAACGCCCTAAATCCCCAATGACGGCCCAAAACAACCCCCTGGCGGCCCCAGTGGGGTCCCCAAGCAAACCCAAAAAAGTGAAACACGAAACTGAAACGTTGGACTTCTTCCCGCCGAGATGGCCCATCGAGCTCCCCCGAACCCCGCGAAGGCTCTCCAAGAGGCCCTAAGAGGCCCCCCGAACGCCCCCACGAACACCCCCACAGGCCCCAACACGGCCTCCCAAAGCTTCACACATGCCCCCAAGAATTCTCCTGGAGGCGCCAGAAACGCATCACAAAACACCCTCATGTTCATCCAAGAGGCTCCAGGCCCAATATAAAACTTCCACGACCGGCTCAACGTTCACACTTTGTCGGGGTCGGCGGAATAGCGGAAACCAATCGAATGGCAACACAAACTCCTGCCATGAAATTATCATGGCAAGGATGGGGCATTCGTCCTCCACCCACCTCCCCCCTCCGCCCTCTCCATCCTCGTCCTCGCTCTCCTCCTGTTGGGGAAATCCCGATGATGCCGATGCCGCCGGGTTGCGTTTGGCCAGAACTCCGAGCCGAAACCAGCCGTGGCGACCAGGGCCTCCCACGAGGCCCAACAAAGCGAACACGAGGCAATGGTCAGAGTGAGGGGGCTGAACCGAACGGTCATTCACTGTCCCTGCTTGCGTGGCTGAAGTGGAATTCCGCGATGCGGATTCGTGTTGTTGTTGTGGATATGGTTGTGGTTGTTATTTGCTGTTGTTTGTTGTTGTTGCTGCTGTTGTTGTTGGTGTTGTTGTTGATGTTGTTGTTGTTGCTGTTGGTGCTGCTGTTGTTGTTTGTTGTGTGTTGTTTGTTGTGTGTTGTTTGTTGTTTGTTGTATGTTGGTTAATGTTTGTTGTTTGGTGAATGTTGTTTGTTGTTTGTTGTTTTTATGTTTGTTTTTTGTGTGTTGTTG